ATATTATCTATAAACTAATAAATAAAAAGAAATTATAAACTAATATATTAATTAATAATTATGCCCGTATATTATATATTACTAAGATAATTAGAATAAATACTTACTAATAATTAATTATATTTAACTTATTCTCTTATATAACTCTATTAGTATATTCCTATATAAATTCCTTAATAATAGGCTTCTATAAACCTCCTTTAACTAGTTAATCCTAATAACTATATCCTAAGATAAGCTAAGTAATATAAAGGCTTAATAGATTACTAGGTAAATAGAGAATACTATAAAGAAAAGCAAGCAAAATATAAAATAGATATAAAAGAAAATAAAGAAATATACTAATATTAAATATTACTTTATAGATTTTAAAGTAAAAGACAAGATATATATATTAATAAAGAAATAAAAGACATAATACCCTAGCTATAAACTAGATTACTAAATAGCCGGGCCTTATCTAATTCTATATTAAGTTAGTAACTTTTATAAGATTAAACTACCCGAAAGTATTAAAATTCATAATATATTCTCCCTAGACCGTTTATATAAGGCTATTAATAATCTATTACCTGGCTAGAAAAACAAACTACCTTTACTAATTCAAGTAATAATAGACTGAGAATATAAAGTATAGGATATTCTAATATTAAAGGCAGAGTAAAGAAAGCTTCTATATAGGATTAGTTAGGTTAGGTATAATAAAGACCTTAACTAGTATCTAGCCTCCGATCTGAAATATTCTTTTTATAAGCTATAAGACTATTACTTGGCTAATTAATAATAGCCAAGCTTACTAAAGAAGCTAGTTAACTAGGTACGAGCCTGGGAGAACGGGACGGAGAACTCTAATAATTTGGATAATAATTCTATAATACTTACTTACTTAAGAATAAGCTTTTTCTAAGAAGGGAAATAATATTACGATTTTATACTTTACCTAGCCTGGTATCTGGTATTTAATATCTGAGCCTAGTATCTAGTAGCTGGGATTATATAATAATTATATATAATAAAGCTAGGGAAAGCTATATTTCAGGAAATTTAGGATACTAAGCCCTATTAGGCCGAGCCATAAGCAAAGAACTATAAATATTTAAAGGATCTTAGCTCGAGACTTTTTTTTCTTCTTAGCTTAGTTTTCTTAATAAATAGTTCTCCTATAAGTACCTTATTTATAGGCTCTCTTTATAGGTCTATAATATATAGAACTATATAGTAATTAGAACCCTAGTTCCAGATCTATATAATACTCTATTATATAATAGTTAGATAATATATTTATAGCTTCTATAGAAAATACTTAGAAAAGATCCTAATATTTTTTAGGAAATATAATTATTTTATTAGTAATAATAATAGTAATTCTTTAGCTATTTATTATAGGATAAGTAATTAATAGAAAAATATATACCTTATACTTTATTACTTTAGTAAACTTTCTAGTATTTAGAACTTTAATTTTCTAGAATTAAATCTAGTATTTTTATATTATTTCCCTAAAGGAAATTAGGGAATTAACTTAGTAAAGCTATAGAAATTCAAGTATTATATTAATATAATTTAGATTAAAATTATATAATATAAAGTATATATTAGCCTTTTTTTAGTTTCCTAGTATATTTTTAATAATAATCTCAAGAATATAATTTCTATATAAATGAATTCTTTTTCTTTTTAGTAAGAATAAAGGAATTACCCTTAATATTAATAGAATACTTATATCTAAAGCTAATCTTCTTTTTATATAATTAGCTTCTATATCCGAGTTTACTAATACTTTAATCTTTTATTTACCTGTTTTTATCTTAATAATAATCTTAATTATTATTCTTATTTTAGGAGCCTTATTCTTTATAATATAAATAAGTATAATTACTATAAAATATATTTATTTCCCGGCTTCTTTAGTTCTAGGCACTTATATAATTTATAGCCAGATTTATTATAGTTATAGCAAGTCGGTTTTCCCTAATTTAGGTAAGTAATAATATAATAATTCTTTTTCTAGTAAATAAAGTAAATTATATCCGGTTTTATAAATTCTAATATAAGTATTATATTAGATTTTATTATTATATCTTTACTATTCTGGTTTTATAAATCTCGTAATAGAAATATATTTCTTTTTTGTTTTTCTTTATTATTTTCTTTCTTTTTTTTTCTATTTCCTTTCTTTTATTATTTTATTAGCTTATTATTATATTTTTATTAAGTAAATAGATTTAAATTCTTCTTAATTCTTATAATAATAAAAATAAACTTTTTTTTCTTTTATAAAATATTTTCTTAATAATTAATCTTATTTCGGATTTCCTGCTTTAAATTATTAAATAAGTTATTTTATTCTTATAATAAACTTATATATCCTAAATTATTTAATAGGCTATTTAAGTAAGATATAAAGCTTTAGATACTCTAGCCTGGCTATTATTTAGTATTCTTAAACTTAGTAAGAATATTATTATTATAGTTTTCTGAATCTAAAATAAAATCTTTTATAAATTTAATTAAGGTCTCCTAATTTGTAATATTAATACCTATTAATTATTTCCTATATTTCTAGATATTTCTAGCTATATTCTTAAAATAGGAAATATAATATATAATCTTTACTATATTAGTAGCCTAGGTAATTCTGCTATTTTTATATTACTTTAATTTTGCCTAATAAAAGAAGTCCTGGGCTTCTTTAATATTCTTTCTCTAGTAAGTAGATAATTCTCGGGTTTTTAAAGTTCTCTAAACTAAGAATATTACTAGAAATATAACGGGTTCTATACCGGATATCTAAATATCTTTAAAATAACGAATCTGAGCTTCTAGCTTTTCTAGATCTTCTTTCTATTATATTTCTATTTCTAACTTAGTAATATAATAATAAGCCGCTACTAATTTCTCTATTATTATTATTTTACTAGCTAGTTCTAGAGGTATCTGAGTTCTATTTCTTTTTCCTAATTAGATAATATAAAGAATACTTAACTAGGCGCTTCTCTAGATACCTAATTAGGTTACCCTAGTAATAATAGAGGCGCTTTTTCTAGTTAATACTCTAGTTATTAATATTTTTATTTATTAATAGCTTAATTATCTTATAATAAACTACTTTCCAAAGATTAGATTAATTAGAATATAAGGTATATAATAGTAGAATAAAGTATAAGTAGTTAAGGTAAATAAGCTATAGAGTAATACTTATAAGTATAACTAATTTCAAGAATTAATTCTAATAAAAGACTAATTAATATCCCTTTCTAAAGCTAGGAGCGTCTCTCTATATATTTCCTAGTACTTAGCTAAGCCTATAAAGTACTTTACTTAACTAGGAAATATAATCCTATATAATTCATATAATTCCGATTACTTATATAATTCCGATTACTTATATAATTCTAATTACTTATATAATTCCGATTACTTATATAATTCCGATTACTTATATAATTCCGATTACTTATATAATTCCGATTATAAGCTTTATCTAAAATAGGAAACGAGATCTATAATATCTAATACCTGTCTATATATTATTATATATACCTATTATAATTTATTAACTAGTACTAGTAAATTATATAATTAAATTATAATTATTTAGTTAGTTAGTTATATAAGCTTATAAAAGAATTCAAGAATTAAAATATTATATAAAACTAAATATAAAATTTAATTAAAGTTTTATATAGCTTTAGTTTAAGTTAAAAAGAAAAAGAAAAAAACAAATATATAAAAATAAATAAAATATAAAAATGAAATATAAAATAATATTTCAAGTAATTTTATATATAAAAGAAATATATTTCCTTATATTTATATTTTATATAATAATATACTTTTATAAATAAAATAATAATTACTAGAAACCGAAATAATAATAAAATAAAAAATTATAATTATATAAAATGGGCTAATTATTACTTAAAAGCCGTATATATATAGTTTATAAGATTTATTTAATTATAATATATATATAAATTACTAGTATATTAAATAATTATATTTACTTAAATTAAATTAAATTAAAATTAAACTAATTAAATTATACTTAATTTATAATAGATATATATAATAGTATATAAATAAGTATTAGATATTATAAATCTAGTTTCCTATTTTAAATAAAGCTTATAATTAAATTATATAAATTGCATTCCCTAATTAAATAAAGAACTTTATATATTTAGCTAAATACTAAAAAATATATAAAAAAATACTTTTAGTTTTAAAAGAAATATTAATTGGTTTTTTATTAGAATTTGCTCTTGGAATTAGTTATATTTATAAGTATTACTATATAGCTTACTTACCTTAACTTCTTATATATTATTTTATTATTATATACTTTATATAATTATAATTAAAAATAATTAATTAAATTTATTATATAATTATATATATAATTCTAGAGCTTTAAAAGCCGAGATAGGGCTAAAATAAGATCTGGATTAACTATATTTAATATTACTAAAGGCACTTTTTTACTAAACTAGGCCTAGTACTAATTAGTAAATAAAGTTAAAAATACTAGAATCTCTTTAATTTCTAGTAATTTCTTGCTATTAATAACAAAGTTATAAATAAGCCCTTATAATAATTAAGGAAAAAGAAATAAGAAAAAAATAAAATAAAAAGAGAAAAGAGAAAGAGATTTCTAAAAAAGAAAACTATAAAGATAAAGTTATAATATAATAGTAATAAAGAGCTTAAACTAAGCTAAAGGCTATTTATTAGGCTAAGAAAATACTAGCTATATACTAAATCACGTATAATAGTACTATATAACTAGTTTATTATTTTAGATTTAAACTAATTTTATACTTATATATATTTTATAAATATAGCTATTAGTTATTTAATAATCTTTAAAAATGCTTAAGAAAGTATATTTTTATATTTTTATATAATAATTCTAATTAATTATCCTTAATTATTTTTTGACACACTGTGGACCACAAGCCTCATTCTTTCCGATACTGGGAGACGACTTTGTTATATATCTAAAAGGTTTGCCCAATAGCAGTACAAGTTCCATGTACTATAGCTGTGCTCACCCTCGTAGCAGTAACCGTAACTATCGCTGTTGCCTTGCAAGTTGAAATAACAGAGGTTGAACTTGTGGTACTTTTCACGCTGGAACTCGAATTTGGCGAAGTTGAACTGCTCTTCGAGCTTGTTGTCGATGTTGTCCTCTTTGTGGAAGATGAGGAGGAGGAAGATGAGAGTTTGCTGGAAGTAGACGTAGTTGTCGATTTCAACGTAGAAGTTGATGATAGTTTAGTGGAGGTGGATGAGAGTTTGCTGGAAGTAGACGTAGTTGTTGATTTCAACGTAGAAGTTGATGATAGTTTAGAAGAGGTAGACGTCCGAGCAGCGCTCGAGCTAGACGTCGATTGTGCAGGAGGCGTGCATCCCCCGACTATTGACGGAACCGCATTCGGACCGGTGGTGATAGGGACAATATTTGTGCCGCAGTTCGCAGCTTGTGCGAGAAGAACGTTGGAGTTATCTTGATCATATACGACTACCCACTTTCAGCTTGATCACCAGAAATGGAAAGGGAAAATACTATAAGCAGACCGCATGAACGAATCACCCAAGAGGGAAAACTGGGTGCTAGGCACCGCAGCCAACCAACATTGTGCGCCGTCAAACCAAAAGAATTCGTAGTACGAGACGTGGATTGTCGTCCCTCCAAACCCGAAGTCGATCGTCCCTACCTGGTTCCTGAGAGAGCAGGGCACTGTGTATTGACTTCCACCTTGGTTTACAGCGGAAGGAAAGAAGGAGAGGAGACCGGCGAAGAGGGCAGATGGGAGGTAGCACCATGTGGATCCAGAATCGGGAAAGATGGGCTGGTTGATGGTTGGGGTCGTGACCGGGTTTGAGACGCTGGAGCCGGGGACAGTGACACCGAGGGATGTCATGTATATCCAGTATCTGACATCATTAGAATTGCTGAACGAGGATGTAGCAACACTCACCGGGGATAGAAATCTGGAGCTTGATAATAAGGGATAATTGGACGCTTCTCCAGAGCTCCCTTATACTTCATCGTATCGACACCGCCAAAGATAATTGTACCTAGAAAGATGAGCCCTGGTGCTTCGGACAGGCAATTCAAGAGATGTACCTTGAGCTACATCGATACTGGCAAGATTGAGACTGAAAGCCCGGCTACGTGTAACGCCTTGAGCAGCAAGTTGATCAATGATATTGGAGTAGTTCGTATCCACATTCTTGCCCCAACCGATTCCCATAATTCCTTCCATCTGACTCATACTAGTGGAGGCATCCCCAAACTGCTGTGCAACTATTTTCGCGCCTACAAGCATGTAAATGTAAGTATCGAATCAATACATATGGAAGAATTGGAATCCTACCTCCCATAGCGATGTTGTCTGTATAATAGACACCCGAGGCCGAACCAATGCCGTACTGAATCGAGAAGGCGGTGTTGAGGGATTGAGAAGTCGAAGAGCTGGCAGGATTATAGAAGCCATTTAAGTTGCAACCAGACGGGTCCCAGGCGTTGGAACAAGTAGGGTTCACCCATAACTCCGACGATCCAGTATCAAGCAGTACCTCTACACTCTGAGGGGGTGTTCCAATGCCGACTGCGAAATATCAGATTTGCTCGCGGAAAAGATTGTGGGAGTCTCACTCTGGATTGAATACCCGCTGATATCATTCCTCAGTCCATCGATTGACTGCCGCTTCTGCTTTGGCCTGTGGTGATGCCTTCTCGCAACAGGAACCTGCAAGACTCCTGACCCCCTTACTCTATTCGTGCTATGGCCGGTGATATTGACCACAGCACCCTCGGTGTGCGGGACCACAAAGGCCTCAGTAATCGCTGCGAATGATGCAACGGTAATTAAAAATTTCGACATGCGCGCGGGACTGGTTATCGACAGGTCAGAAACATCGAGGGCGGTCCCTTGCCTATTTAATGGGGATGTTTGATGAGTGTGAACACATCTCGAACTATTCCTTCTTTCCCCGCAAGCACAGAAGAGACAGGGAGATGACCAGCCGCATAGGCGTGAGAGAGGCCGTTTGCGATTGGGCAGGTTGAGACAAGGGAGTCGTGAGGCTCGCTTGAGGTGAAACATTGGGCTCTGGAATGTGGAATATTGGAAGGCCCGATGCCGCCAACGCATGTGCTACAAAGAAAGGGAAATAATATCCCTCAATTTTCTTGATTCAACAAGCACGTGTACAGTAGTGAAGATGCCAGAGGCGCGACTATTATCGAATACGGAAGACGCTAGCGAGGCATCGTCGGGATGTCATGATAGTGAGACACCATCCAGGCGCCTCGGCGATTGACGCAAGCCTAGAGTCGAGGTCGAGAGTTACTTGAACTCAACCTCCAGACAGACCAAAGAATCTGGGGAGAGCCAAATAATTGATGGCGAGGTCTGTGTGCGCTTGCGAAACGGCATCTCAATGCCCCTGAGAGCGTGAAGAGAGAAAGTTGCGCGGCAAAGGAGTCGCATTCCTGGAAACTCCTTTGAGCACTCCTGCCCTCCGAATTGAAAGACCCATTACAAATTTCAACCTCGACAAGTAAGCTATGTCGTTGAAGTCGCGCTGTTGTCATGTGTCGCCGTGTGTGGCGACAGAGATGAAGCTGGAGTATTTCCAGTTGTCGAAGATTGGGGACACACCTGAGAACCGAAGTCCGAAGCACGTGCGCGACCCCCTTATTTCCGTTCTTCCAGTTAAGGTTCCCCATCTTATATATTCATACTCAAGAAAACTATTATTAGTTAAATAGCCTAACTGTAGAGAGTTTTGTTAGACTGAATAGGGAAGCAGCCGCGTGGTTTGTCAACTACCTGGCCTTAAAGACTGATATCCGACTCGGAGATAGCAGTTCGTAAGTCGGATCCGGATCCGGATCCGGACAACTGGCGAAATATATATCAACAATCCTCTACAATTCCCCAAGAGAGTATAAATATATACAATTCAGCATTCTGCATCTTCAATTAGAAGTCTATCGGATCAACAAGTCGATCACTCAACCACTCAAATTAAATGCTCGAGTTTTCCGGATAATAAAATCTCTTTCATTCGAGAACTCGATCCTCGCTAACATAACGAGCCCCCTTTCGCCTCACGAAACAACCAGTCCTCAAAACACCGACAAGACCGAGCCATACCAAAGATGCATATCCTCCTCCTGGGCGCCACGGGGCGAACAGGGAATCTCATCCTTGCATCCGCCCTTTCGAAAAACCACGCAGTAACAGCACTCATCCGCGAACCTTCTTCGCTAACCTCTACACCCGGCTTGACGATAATCACCGGCTCACCGATAGCCGAGCAAGACGTCGAAACGGCTATCAAGGCAACCCCAAGGCTCCCAGACACAGTGGTCATTGCTCTAGCTTCAGTTCGTGAAACAGATTCACCCTTCAGTAAACCTACTTCGCCACCACGTCTCATGACAGAAAGCCATGAAAGGGTCTTGGAAGCGATGAAGAAGTTTGGGATCAAGCGTCTCATTACCATATCTGCGTTTGGAGTGGGAGATTCAAATCCGAACGTCTGTTGGCCAATGAGGATGATGCTCAACCATAGTCCAATGGCGTTTGCGTTCTCGGACCATAACGCTGTTGAAGCATTGGTGCGTAAGACGGCGGATGAGTGGGAGGAGATCCTTCAGGGAGAGCATTTGGAGTGGACGCTTGTCAGGCCGTGTATGTTAAACGATGGGGAGTTGAGGGAGGCTAAGATTCTTGGGGGGCAGGGGAAAGGTGCGGGGTTATTGGCGAGCATAAGTAGAGCAAGTGTTGCGAATTTCGTAGTGAGTAGGTGCTTGGAGGGGAGAGAGTTTCTGGGGGAGACGCCGGTGGTTTGTGTTTAAAACTGCGACGAGTGACAAGAAGGAAACAGAGAAGAGTACATAAAGCTCGGACAACTTCGACAGCATCGTCACCTGCTGTTATAGAGCCAGAAGTGCTCTTCATGCATATCCCCTTCCGCCATGGGGGTTTGAGAACCGTCATGTCGGTGTCTCTTTATTGACGTGGTGGCTTGAAGTGCTATATCCGATCGCTTTCCAAGCCGAATTTTGCCAGGAAACTGCGTTGTAATTGACTCAGATCTCTCCAGTCGGCGAGCGATACTTGTCGTGACACGCGGAAAATGCAATGAAGTCAGTTATAAGAGGTATGAAAGCAGGCTATTTGTTTAAGGCCTTCGTAACCAAAAGCTAGCTTGAGGATTTCAAGGGCCCTTATGAGATTGTCTTGGAGAGAGTCTCGACTTCTTGTAATCCAGTTTAGCTAAGGGTAGCCAACCTGCGAACAACTAATAGCAATAAATCAAACGTACTGTTTGCCCTAAATTATCAAGGAGCTCAAAACGCCTTAGGGCCGTTTGGAACAGATTCTACGTTTTTGTTGCTAGCAACTAACTCTAGCTTTTAATACTCAATAATTAAAGTCGATATTCGTATTAACTAAGAGCGTTTGGGGGATCTTATAACTGAGTATTCGATCTCGGGAGGGTTCGGAATAATCTACGGCTCTATTAGCCCTTGGGATCTGAGGTTGAACCACCAGAGTATGGGTGATTTGATTAGTGAAGTTGAGAGTTTTGAACTAGAAACGTGCCTTTAATCATCGCAGCAATATTAGCGGATTTCGTACTTCAGCCTTTGGCTCCTCTATACACAAAGGCTCATGTCATGGTAGCCCAACTAGCGGTGCTCGTGACTATGTATATTTGGTCCAGTGCAGTGCCACGATGTGGGCAGATACACCTAAAGCGTCAGACACCAATATTCACCATGTACAATGAGGCAACGAAACTTGCCTCGCGCGACACCCTCTTCTGTTATCCTCAACCCTCTTGTTCCATGACTGGCTTCATCGGCGAAAATAACGTTGGCAGGATACCGGGGCTATCTCTAATTGAGACCGACGTTCTACACACTCCTGAGCTACCTGCTCGAGAGGCAGGAGGAGGTCAATCTTTTGCGCCTATCCCCGCCAGCATATGAGCCCCGGTAACGTTTGTGCAACACGAAGGGTGACTTCATTGCAGGACCTCTCTATATGATTTACCCGAAAAGCAGTTCGCTCAACTGGGACATCAGATTGGAGTTAGTTCGACTTATAATCGGTCTTGTCACCTTTTCTTAACCATTGTTCATTAGTGAACGAGCCCGTGACTTTGCAGCCGAGGCAGAGGTCATTATGTCAGCAAAGTTGCTTCTAGCTCGTGCCGAAGCCATGGCCGAAAAGAAACCCGATTCTAAGAACATTTTCCCTTCGTACCTGAACGAATCAGGCCATGTTTGATATTGAGAGACCAAGGACTCGCAAATGCCGGTATTTGCTTCAGTTTTCAATAGTACCTTCTACACATTCAAATTATTATACAAGCATCACGTTTCTCGTTAGGTTTATTCCGTGATCGTTTTTTTCAATAAGAAATCTATGAAAACGTAGTTTACAAAATAATTAGTTTTACTTTAGGAGAAGAATAAGTATTAGACTTTAATACCTTATAACTATAAGAGAGTAATTAACTCTATTCCAACTATCTTCTCTCCGAAGATTACAACAAATGCTCCGCAAAATATACCACAAGTCTGTCGTTCTTCCCTATATAGTAGAGCCGCTACTAACAAGCTCTTTAGACCAACTTGAATTTCCAGATCATTACGTGCAGTGTTACTCCCCTTCTCTCGAGCTTTGCACTAGCCTTTCCTGAAGGTCCAAGAAAGCTGCTCCTCTCCGACTTTGCGAGCTATTCCCCGGCTACAGGCGCAACCCCCCCCGCCCCCGGTCAACGACTGCATGCAAATCTTGTACACTACTCAGGGTGGTGGAAGTTAGAAGTTGAATAATTTTAGCTACCGAACGCTCGTAACACATAGGACATGCGCATTTGGTGCAAAAAGCCAAGGGACCCACGTTCATATCGATAGCCAGGATAATATTACTCTCATGTGTACTTTGTTTTGGCGTACTAGTGGAATGGTCTCATTAGAGCTGAGGGGCATATGAGTTGTAATGGAGGGCGCTATACTTATGGGTCTCTATATGGATCGGTATAGGTGCGGCTTCGATAAAATCCAAATTTGAAACTCTTTATATTACTGAAAATTTCACATTTTCTCAGGTTGTCTTTCATCTCGTCTGGATGGTTCATATAGGCATGGAACGGGTGGTTGCGGTTATGTGGACGTCAATTAGGGGTTTTGAAATCGTCGGGCTTGGATATAGCATAGCTTTAAACTTATTCCTCGACTCTCTCTACGGAGATTCTTTCCTTCGCGGGGTTTGTTTTTCTTTCCAGTGTTTACAACTATTACTAATTGCTTATCCCATCAAGGAAAAGTGCCGAAGACACTAATAAATTACTCTTATAATAGGTCTGGTTTAAAAAAGACAAAATAAAAGAACTTCTACTATGAATTTATAATATTAATTAATATAAGTTATATTAATCCAGATTATTATACATTTTATAGTAATTAATTTCTTGTTCTCCGATTTTAAATATCTTTCATATTATGAGAGTTAGAAAGCACGTGTGACGGCTGGCATAACTATATAATCTGCCGCAAATATTACACGGGAGGAAACGCGCCTGAAACGGGCAAGTAAGCTAGAGGTTGGCAAAACACTACTAAAGAACGAAGCATTCCATTCTCCTTTACTCTCTAGCTTAGTATTTTTAATACTTGAGATTCTCTGAACTTTGAGCCCCGACTATTGCATTAATTCCGCTATTACAGCACCTAATTATTATAAGCTCACATAAAACCTTTCCCGTTTTATATAATTAAAATTACGCGTTATATAATATATAAAATCGCATATAATTAAAATTATAAGCTTTTATTACCTTACTTTCTTTAATAATAGCTCTTAAATTTTAAGCTTTTATTATATATAACAAGCTTATAAAAGCTTAAGAAGCCTTATTAGTCTTAAGTCTATTATATTATTTACTTAGATATGTGTTTTTTAAAATATTATTATATTTTAAATAATTAAAAAGTATAAAGTATAAATTATATATATACTTCGAAGTTCGATTATTAGTTAATTATGAATTGCATTAAAAATCGGGCTAATAGTTTTTATTTGCCTAGTTCTATTCTATAATTATATGCCTTAATATTAATTGATCGAGGTAGTAGTTAAAAAGTTGTTATGGGCGCAAAAAGGGCGCCGGCCGTTTTGTCGTTTTTGGATCGGAGCGACAGTAGTTCATAGCCCTGGACGCCTCCGTGGCGAATGACTACTTACTTCATCTACTTTGACTATGAAAACTTCGCGATGTTCCGGGTCAGGGAAGGATCTGGAGAGGACATCGTAGAAGTTCTCGGCGAGGAAGGAGTACGTAGTAATAACACCATTGCCCGGCGAAGGAGAGAGATTGTAGAGCCAATTCTACCGCCAAGAATCGTGCCAAGGGAGCAGGCCCCTGGTTTTCCGGTGGAGTTTCGGAGGAGCGTGGGGATCACCGCCAGCTTAGCGAGTAACCTCGGGTTTAGTATTGCTGGGTTGGCGAATTGTAATATAATGTAACCATCAATTCTTTTTCAGAAAACATGTTAGAATTAAGCTCAGGATTGGTTCGTGCCCCAGTCGAAGAAGCCGAAGTCCATATTCTCGAACCCGAGGTCTGGAATCTATCTCATATTAGCTTCTATCGTCGAAATCGGATCAAAGAAAATCAAGTTTACCATATCAACCCCTTCAAACCCCATCTCAAAATCAGATGGGAAAGGATCACCATCCCCGGTCCCTTTTCGTCCGGAATTACCTGCCCTCTCAAGCATTTCACTCTCCCTGCCACCACACACCCCCCGACCTCCACCTTCATTCAGCTCCGTCCTGAACTTGATAAGCACATCCGGCCTAACAATTCGACACGCATCCCTCACCCTCTCCGCGCCCCTCTTCATCAACTTCTTCCTCTCCTCAGCATCACCATCACACCTAACACTACAAAGCGCCACACAAAGCGGCAGAATGTCCTTCAAATCACAGCCAAACCCACCGATCCTGTCTAACAAGCTCTTGACCGTATTCTCTACTACCCTTGTAAAGGAAACTCGGCTCTGGACCCAGTCCACATCTATTTCTCCTTCCCTTTCTCCTTCCCTCTCATGTGCATACTCGGCTGAGGACGAGGATGAAGTAGAGGAGCGCGAGTTGTAGAGTTTGATTTCATAACATAAAATTAAAGCTGACTGGAGGACGCTGTTTCGATGAAGTATGTGGAAGAGGTTAAGATACTCCTTCCCTTTCACAGCACTCAGATCCGCGACCGCTGGATCCAGCGCATCGAGGTTGCCCAGTACCGCTAACCCGTTTTTCACGGCTCCTTTCCTTGCTTCTGGAAAGCGCTCTCCGATTTCAGACATCGAGATCGCACGGTATAGAGCGAGGAGTGGCCGACGGATAGATAATTCGAGTTGAATTGATGTGAAGAGGCGGTGGAGACGTTTGTTTGAGCTTGAACCGGAGCGGGTAGAGGAGCGGAACGGGGGAGGTAGCGATTGGAGGTGTTTTTCGAGTTCGGAAGCCAGACGGAGGAGGTGCGGGGCTGAGGTTGCGAGGTTGAGATTTGAACCGAGTAAATTCGTAATCTGTAACCGCAAAGCAAGACAAGCGGAGAGCGCTAGTTGAGGTAAGGCGTCTGTGTAGCTTGTAACTAATTTGCTTGCCGGATACTCAGTCATCTCAGGAGTCAAGTCTTGATCATCGACATTCAATAATTCTCTGGTGTTGAACATCTTTGAATTAACAGCAGACGGCATCCCTGCCGCTAGAGAGAACTGCAGATCGAGTTCAACGATCGTAAGCCATAGTTTCCTTCGGGCTTCTTTATCAAACTTAGAGAATTCCCAAGGCTCGGGATCTTGATGCAGGCCCATCACCATGGCGTTTCTGACCAAGATCCCAGATTCAACCCATAGTTCTGATGGGGTAGCAAGGTTTGCTTGCCGGGCTAGGAGGAGGAGAGTGCGTGTTTGCAGGGTGGGGAAGTTGACAAGTGCTTTGCCGTGCTGGCTGTCGAGCCAGGCTTCTACCATCTCGAGGTTCTTGGTGATCTGGTCGTCGGATATTCGTTCCGTTGCCGAGCCGCGTTCGTTTGGGTCGTTGAGCCGGGATGCTGTTGAGATTATGGCCAGGATTTGAGGGATGACCCGGTCGTGGATGTGTGGTGGCAGCGTCAAGGTTCCTGACTCGATTACTGCAGACGCTTGATCGCATTCTTTCATGAATGTCCCGATGTGAAGGACTCTCCATATTGTTTCCCAGTTCTGGATATACCTAGCTTGTAGGATCCCAAACAGGAAGCTAGAAGGCAAAGCCTTCATCATCTCTACCATAAGCTCGTCTCGATCCTGCGGAATGACGTGCCGAAGTTTGTTCTTAGGCTGGAACGCATTCTGATACGCAGCCAGCTCTTGAATCACACCACACATCTCAGGATCTTTGAAGCTTCTCAGGATGAAACATTTAGAGTTGTCAAACTATCCACCATTAGCAAAACCCTCAGACTAATAGGGAGACTCACGTGATCCAGCATAGCCATCCGGTCCCCAATCCCAACATACCTCGACCTCGACCCCTTAACATGCACCCTCCCCAACGCCCCCACACTCGCTACCTGTCCCAACCCCGTACTCGACACCGGAGTCGGCAGTTGATCTCCCCGTTCCTGCGCCGCTTCCGCCGAGACATCACTCATCCCATACACAAACATCCCCCTCCCAAACCCCATATTATTCTCTCTTGCCAGTGCAGGCATATTCGGACACCTGTCTGTCTCCCCGTTCGACATCCGAGCACGGTTCTCACTCTGCGGTGCCTGCTTCGTCTGACGCAGAACATCAACATCGCTCATCCCATAAGCTTGGCTCCCTCGTCTAGGTCCAATCGAATCGACCCTCGCTAGCTGCGGTACATTAGGATAGTACCCTCTATCGACATCACCCCCTTCTCTACTCCCATACCCTCCTCCACCGCTCGCGTACGGCCTACTAACTCTTTCATGGAACCCGAGATCTTCAACCCGCGCTCGCTTCGGAGCAGACCCAACATCAAGCCCCGCCGCATCTTTAAAATAGCAAATGCTCCCATCTCGCCCCCCCTTCTTACAATTACTACAAGGCAACTCTCGATCACACTTCAACTTCTTCCTCCTGCATTCCTCACACGACTTCGTCGGTCGTTGTCTCGACCTTTTGACGGCCGAGCTCTGGGTCCGACTTGCAGCCGGAGAATGCGAAACGGAATCTTGTTGGTGCTGATGCTGTTGCTGGGACGAGGTGGGCGAGATTCCCTGCGCGGAAGAGGAGGGCGTTAGTTGTTGGTGGTGGGTGCTGGGGTACGAGGAGCCGGACGACAGGTGCGTGAGGATATGTCCGGCTTCTGCGTCGGATGTGTGGTCCATTGCATCGGAGATGGAGTTGACGGTGTTTGTTTGATTGTAAGGTGTTTTTTGTGTGAGAGAGGATGGAGTTAAGGTCGAGAAATGATCGAGGAGCGATCGGATGAGAAGCTCGGTGATGAGGTTTAGTGACCGGATGATGTGGGGGGGGCCGTCGGAGATGTACTCAGGACCTCGGCTTTTAGCACGGAGAACGATGCAGGTTTCGGGTACCGTGTCCGGACGGTAAATGGATCGGTACCGTATTACAAAGCCACCATGAGCAGTGAGATGGAGGTGCCTTACTTCTGAGAGAGTGTCACACTTGACGCGATGCTTTTAGCGGTGTTGGGAAGAAAGTTTGCGAGATGCCGGAATAGAAGCCGGAGGTCAGCTTGGAAATCATCGGCTGAGTCAGATTGATATTAAACAGAGTTTGCACGTGACTTGATATGTTTTAAGTTTTTCCAGAAACAGAAGAGAGAGGGAATCATTTGATGGGAACAGCGTCGCGGAAGTCCTTTCGTCGTACTTATAAGCCGTTGCTCATTCTTGATGATCTTGCTTAACGCGAAAAGTGACTGTACGCAAAAGAGCAGCCCCTGAGTTTGGCGAACCCCCCCCGCCTCTCCTCTCTCCTCTCTCCTGAACCCAAAGACCGAGAAATCGCTCTATTCGCAGATGAGAATCCTGCGCCATAAAACTAGGCCTCCCCCCCCCAAATTCGATTTCATCCCATCCGACAGACCCCAAAATCGCATCACTTTAAACCCATCACTCCCACCGCCTCTGTCCCTACCCCTTGCCTTCTTCCATCTCCAACCAGCAAAGAATCAACCACTCCACAAACACAATCTCCGCAATCCCCAATTCCCTCCCAAACTCGCGCAGCATCTCCTCCAAGCCATACGTCGAACGCGGCACCTGCTTCTCCGGCCTCCGTCGCAGCGGTCCCCTGGTCGCTGCCGTCATCATCGGCCGCCGATTGTGAGCCGTGACGATCGACTCGAACTCGTGCGCGCCGCGGCCGGGGAAGGGCGTGCAAGGCATCGTCGCTAGCATCGTGGTGCTCGGTGCGTCGATTGGCGGCGAGGGCGTGAGTTGGGTGTGTCGCGTTAAATGATAGACCGACGGACTTGCCTTTGTGCCATTGCTCGCCGAGCGATGATGGGCGATGGTGGGAAAGGCCAGAAACCTTGATAGGAAAGTGAGCAGGTGCATTTTGAGCGCTGCTCGAAATGTTCCTTTTGGTAGTGGGAACGCCGTTCGAGCACGAAGGAGGGATCAGGGAGGACTTGAGACGCGGAAAATGAAGGTGGAAGCGAGATCGAAGGTATCTGAAATGACGAAATGAGGTTGCCGAAGGACATTGCGTAAACCTCTTTCATGCAGTGTAAAGGTGAATCCAATCACTTGATCTCACCAGACGACTGCCCGACAAACGAACCTCGTACAATGCAACAGAAACCAAGGAGAAGGTCATAATACACAACACAATATATTATATCTTCATTCCGTTTCCCACCCCAAAAATATCGCAATTCATTCCGCCAGCTTACCGCCCAAACTCCACGCCTGCTATCTCCCAAACCATCCGTCCATTCATAAATCATCTCATCGAATACTTTCAATCACATAACAACACAATCCCTCTCCCTCTGTTGGTCACTCCCACCAGTATTCCTCCTCCCAACTCCAGGCCCCGGCCCCGGCCCCGGAATCTGTTCAATCAGTGTTCCCCTCCTGCCTCCCGTCGCCACCCTGCCCACCGGACTTTGATATCCCACATTCGCCGCATTAGCACTATATGCACTCATCCTTCTCCCTCCCCCGCCGGGTCCTCCGAGTGGAGTAGAAGGATGGGCAGGATGATTACTAGGCGGCACATACGCCGCCTGGTTCGCAGCTTGCTCGTAAGAAGGTGGCGCGTCCGCTACTCCTGCCTCAGGATCCGCAATTACATGCGTCCCTGCATTACTCCTCCGTGGCGGTATCGCTGGGCGAGCTTCCTGCGGTGCATTGACATTGATATTGCTTGACGAGCCCCTTCCACGAGTGTTGGCAGGAGCCCCTCGATTCGCGGCAGGATTCCCGCGCGTTCGTCCACCGCCTCGCGATGAGACGGGCACGTTGTTGTTGGGTTCGCGGCCCTGCTGCTCGATATATTGTTGGCTCAGCTCCGTTTCTCGTCGTCGACGAGCGAGTTCGGCGTGATGCCGCTCTTCTTCTTCTTCTTGCAGCTGCAAAGCAAGGGCTAGATCGTGGTCTTCTTGCTCGGTATTCGGTGATTGCGGGGGCTGATTGTGAGAAGAGGAGCTGGGCGTTAATTGGTGGTTCTGGTTGGTGTTGGCGCGACGATTTTGGACAGTTGTCCAGCCGTCGGAATGCCCTGCAGCAGGTGTAGATGCTGATGGCGTTTGTAGTGCGCCGCCCACGAGACGAAAATCACCGGAGAAGAACTCAGCATTCTCACCTGTTACGTCGAGGAGGGATTCCCAGACTACTTCTTCGTGGCCTGCGTAGCCCATATCTGTGACCAATTGCAGGAGTTGAAGCGTATCCGGATGGCGGTATAAGGTGGAAAAATGGTCATTTCGGAATAAAATCGCTACTGCACCTGGTGCAAGAGAGGTGGTGATGGTCTGAAGTCCGTACGGGGTGAGTTGTGTTGCATTGGAAGAGAAGAATGCATTGATTGTTGCGATGTCTTCTAGTGTTGCCTGTTCCTCAAAGCTGAGACCTTCGCGCTGTAACTTGTCTTCGAGTCCTTCTCCGTGGAACATTAAATTTTGGGCATCCTCGTAGGTTTTCGCTGAACGGTCTAGCGCCGCGAATGCCTGCGTGCCGGCCTCGGGAAGCCAACCATGAATCAGAGGTATCGAGAATGTGCTGTAAAGCTTCATTTCTCGGGTATCTTCGAAAGTCCCTGGGATGGCTGCTTCCCGCTCTGAGGGGTGGACGTGTGACATTGAGTTCCGAGGATCGTTTCGTGCCTTCGTTGCTGGGGGTGGAACGAAAGAGGGATTGACGTTCATCCCGGTATGGAGCGTTATTAGGAACGAGTATAAATCGCTGACATCCGGTAATGCTTGCGCAGCATCTCCCCTTCGGCCGGACATGAGTTCGTCAAAGACAGCATCCAACAATAAGCCAAGACTGACTTGTTCACGTGATCGTAATGTATCAACCAAGGCTGTTTCGACGTCTGCGGGAGTCGATAGAGTAAGGGCGTTGACAAGAGCTAGTAACGGACAAGGACCATTGGCATTCTGTATCAGGATAGGAGATACCCTCGGGTTCTTTTTCGCGGTAACATCGTGCCAAGTAATCTTCTTGATCTCATACGTTTCTTTTCTTTGCTTTTTTGTTGTTGGACTCGTGACAGAGGATTCGCTGGCATTGGTGGTTACGATGGATGGTCTTGGGGGTTGTTGAGGAGGCTGTTCCTGGGACCTTCTGGGAGGCAAGGCTGGGGCGTCTTCTTCCGTAGGATATCGTTCAAGAACGGTCCCATCCCCTGATATAACACCGCTTTGCTGTCCGGTTGTCTCATGATCCACAATATTCCAACCCTCACCTTGCTCTACGGCCAAGAAGCTGTTCGTGGGAGGGTTTGATTCTCCTTGTCCCTGATGTTCGTCCCAAGCATGGGTATCTTCATTAATTTGTTGGACTTCCGGTACTGCCTCCGCCGACAGCTCGTGTACCACTGGTGAAGCTTCATCTTCATCCCACGCAGGACTTTCCGGTTCTTCCAAGTCAATCAAAGCTGGCTGTGAACTATCCATTGGAGGAGCCGCAGGAGCTTGACGTGTGGGTGGTGCACTGGACCATGCTGCGTTTCCGGAATCCTGACGGTGTATGGACAGAGGCTGTGATTTCTTCTCGGCCAGAGCAGGTTGCCAAGGGTTTGTGCTCGGTTCGGGGACGGATAGATTCGCAAATTGTTCGGTTGGAGGAGGGGTAGCTGCTTCGATCTTAGCAATGTATTCCTTCCCCGGAATTCCAGATTGCAGACCTTTGGGAATTGGTGGAGGAGCACCGCTTGGAGGCGGTTTCTCGCCCCAAGCATCAGCACTACTCTCCTTCATTCCACCGGAATTTTGTCTCAGTATGAACGGATTTGTCGACGTAGGTTGAGGAGTCAGCTTCTCCTGCGAGGCCTTCGGTGTATATCCCTTGGGAGGTCCAACTCTCAACAACTCTGGCAGCTCTTTTGGTGGCGGAGCTGCTTGCTCCTCATCGTCCCCGCTCCATGGATTGTCCTCTTCTTGTTCCGAATCTGGCGATCGAAGCTGACCATGTGCATCTTGCATTCGAAAAGGAGGGGGATTCTGTGTTGCTAGAGGCGTGGTGGGGTATGGGAGAGGGGCGGCAGGCGCAAGACTGGAGTCTGCGGGGAGGGGTTTCCGAGTGACCATGACGACACTTGGAACTGGAATTGAAGAGTGAATTGCTTCGAAAGGCAGACCTTGGCGTTGAGTTCGAAGTTTCTCGTCCTGCGGATCTCTAGATCGATTTTCGAGCGCTCCTGGTGGAACCGGCCTGCTCGTCTCGTCTCGCGGAGGTGGCTGGTGGGTATCAATAACGGGAGCCTGGGTATGAGGTCATTGCCAGACCCAATGGACACAATTCGCGTGGATGTTCTCCTTGTCGTGATATCGTTGTTGATGAGAAAGGAGAAGCGCTTCTGGGGACGAAAGGAAAAGAAGCCTGGTGGTCGCACGGCGCAGGGCAGGCAACTCCATTAAGGTTCCTCGACTCGTAACGATGAAGTGCTCGCTCGCTCCTCGGGTCTGGGTCTGGGGTCTGTCAACTTGATTGCTTCTCGCGCGCTACTGTGTCGTTTACGGGTCACCAGCCACACGACTCGAAATAGAAATAGAGCAGCAGTGTGGCAGCAGTGTGGCGGCAGAGTTGCGGCAGAGTTGCGCAGACTTGACGAAAGGAATGGAAGGATACGTTTCCGCCAATCGAGGGAATTGCAAGTGTTATTCTTTAAACACAAGAATTGTCCGCTCCTCCTCCTCAATGGCCAGCTTTGGCTGACTTGCCTGCTGCTGCATCGAGCTGTGCGCTGTGCTTCTTGTCTACGTCGCTTCTTACGCGTCGCCCTTCCTGGCTTGCCTCCAGCCATCCCGTTGCATGCATCCTGCTTGGCGTGATCGACCCTGGCAGCTACGGCGGCCTAGAGGGCGAGAAGGCGAGAAGGCTGAGAACTTTCTTGCCCATGTCGACGGAGGAAAAAAAAAAAGTTCGAGAGACAACAAGGCTGCGACACCGACACCATCAACATGCTGCCATAACATGCTGCCATAACATGCTGCCATATCACCCTGCGACTCAATTGACATGCAGTCCCGTCTGATGTAAATCCAGCACTGCGAGCTCGTCATTCAGGTTCTTTGGATATCGACAATGCTCTCACTCGTCGAGCCCAATGCCTGGGTGGTCTTGCGACTCCCATCAGACTCCCTCAAGGTCATGCAAATAGTGCCAAATACGTGAGTGTCTACCAGTACCAGAGTGAGCAGTTCATTGCCATCGCTACTTCCATAGCTTCCACTGACGTCTTTTAGAATTGTCACCCTCGGAAAATACGGCACATTCTCCTCCAACCTCATCGTCCATCGTCCTTACAACCTCACCTACGAATTGCTCGATCGCCAACCAGGACAAAAAGACTCGGATTTGCGGATTGTCCCTGCATCCGAACTACACGCAGATACCATCGCCGAAGAGCAAGCTGCAACTCCATCAAGTGGAGCAGATCAAATCACAATTGGTGGGGATGGCGTGGAATTCCAGCTGGTGGGAGAGAACGGAGAGGTCATCATGCGCTCAAATCGCGAGACAATCGATGATTCAGCACGACAAACCTTGACCATGGAAGAAATCGAAGAACTAAAACGAGAAGGCACAGGAGCAGGTAAAGACCTGATTGCAAAACTCGTGGCGAGTCACCTCGGCATCGAGCAGAAAACTGCATTCAGTCTGGCAAAGTACAAACTTCTGAAAACGAAGAAATATCTCCGAAGATTCACAATCCTACCACTGGATGTACCAATGTTAGCACGCTGGATGATGGAAGAGAAAGACGCTAGTAAGATTCTAGAAATGCGCGAAGAGATGGTCGGTTTAATAGGAAGCTGGGCCAACGCACACTTTTCCGAATCACGACCGCTCGACACCACTCCTTTTGGGGGCCGTTGGCTCGTCGTCGACGAAACAGGTGGTTTACTCGTCGCCGCTTTGGCGGAGAGAATGGGCATTTTATACCCTTCCTCCGAAGAACTCTCCTCGGAAAACGACCACCACGCCGAGATTCCCCTCGCAACATCAAACACCATAACTCTTCTCCACAACAACACACAACCAAACCTCAGCCTCTTAAAATACTTTTCCTACGACCCTACTTCAACATCCACCTCTCCCCACCACCCGCTATCAAAACACTTGCACCCCCTCTCCTGGCTCCAACTCCTCTCTCCCTCTTCGGATCCCACCTACTCAACCCCCGTTACACCCCTCTCACCAACCACCCTCTCAGCCTTCAAATCCGGAAAACGGGGAACATACTACCGCAAATTGCGCCGCCACAACCGCATCACCTCCATCGTATCATCCACCCTCTCCGGCGGCTTCTCCGGCCTCGCAGTGGCCTCACACATGGATCCCATCTCCGTCCTACGGCACACCATCCCCCTCCTCTCTGGCGGCGCCCCAATAGCAATCTACTCCCCGACAATCGAGCCTCTCGTCCTGCTCTCAGACGCCTACTCCACCTCCCGCCGAACAGCATTCATCCAATCGCCTCCCGCATCATTCACCTCCCTCCCCCTCTCTTCCCAAAACAGTTGGCCGGGAGACGAAGATTTTCCATTAAATCCGACGCTGGTGATCAACACGTCTGTGCAAAGCGCGAGGGTTAGAGAGTGGCAGGTTTTACCGGGACGCACGCATCCTGTTATGACGGGTAGGGGCGGCGCGGAGGGGTATCTGTTTACAGCCGTTAGGGTTATACCGGCAGAGGGGAGGGTGGAGGCTAGGGGGAAATTTGTCAGGAGGAAGGAGGGGAAGAGTGCTGAGACGCCAGGAAAGGAGAAAGAGAAGGCAGCTGAAGATGCGGAAGATGGAGAGGTAGAGGCGGGAAGTCCGCCGAAGAAGATCAAGTTGGAGCAGAGTATGGATGCGGCCGCTGAGAAGGGAGTCGAAGCTTCGAACGCAGCGGTCACGGAAGAAGAAAGGGTGCAAATGAGAGCCGCCCCAGAGAATGCTGAAAGTAGAGAGGTGGAGATGGCTGAGCCGTAGCTTTGCGTGCTGTGAAGAATCCAACCATGATGCATAAGCTGAATTTCGCTCCACGAGCCTGGAATCGAATTGTGTGTTTTGAGTTTGTGAAATCTATCCGCTTTTCTCTGCGCCAGATATAGAGCAGGTGAACACACACATGCTCCCGGCCAGCTTTAATCCCCTCGTCACGCCATATGCTCTTTCCTAACATTCTTCCATCTCCCATTGCCCCTCCAATCGCTCAGTCTTCTTTTCCATCCTCGCTTTGTTCCTATCCTCACAAGCTCTTCCCCATAAACTTCCTCTTCGCAAAGCTTAGCCACCATTTACTTGGCTTATCCGTGCCATCCTCGTATATCCTCGCTAGCAGCCTGCTCGCGAGCTCTTGGCGTACTTGTGCAAGGTACTGTCGCAGGATTTCGGCTTCTTGACGATTGGTGGGGGGGTTAAACATCTGCGGGCGTCAGTCTGCCCCCAACCAAAGAGATGAAGTGGGAAGGGAAGAAGTGAAGTAGGCAGAGAAAAGGGAGGAGGGGAAAGGGGGAAATACCTGGTTCAGAGGAAATCCCGGATCGCCTGGAATCGCGAAATTGTTGTCTAGCGCTATATTCTGGACTTCTTTCTGTGCCTCTCTGTTCCCATCGCCGTCAGCAAGTGCCCTGCAAACAAACACTCACCCATTCTCTCAATCCCATCCCATCAAGCCCCATCCCAAAAGAAAAATCAACACAGCGTACCTCCCACTCATACTAGGCCTAATCTTCCCCAGGCACTCGCTAACCCATAGTATCCCATAAATCATCAGCCGATCCGCCGGGCCCTGGATCTCAAAGTTGCGGAAAAATGTGTTCGCCCGGAACAGACTCAGCACCTCGTCCAGCGCATCGTAGCTCTCACTATCCGGCTCCGGACTGAGGTGCGCGGGTAAGGAGGCGTCGAGGGGTAAAGTGTAGGCGGGGCCACGGACGCGGGTTCGGAGGGGCAGGAGCGGGAAGTTGCCGATTACTTGCGAGGTGGTGGAGGAGGAGTCCTGGTTGAAGATGGAGTTGTATGCCTGTTGTGTCTTGTCAGATTGCTTGGAGGAGATGGGTGTTGGGGGAAGCATGGGTTGGTGAGAAAGGGAGAGGGGGAGGGGATGGGAAGGACGTACCGGCATGATTGCGATTTGGAGAGGTTGTTGTTTTCGTGGAGGGGAGGTGGAAGTTGGAGATGGTGGGGTCGTCGTCAGGAGCGGGCTCAGTGAAATGTGGCTGCCTCGATTGTGAGGCGTCAGATTTCAAAACCTTAAATCCTCGACCTCCGCATCCGTCTTTCTTTCTTCCTTCCTTCCTTTCAAGATTCGCGGGCTATGTAAAGTTGCAAGCTTTTCATTAAAAATGATAGATTTGATTCATTGATGCATTTTTTACTAAATTTCATTGTTTTTACGCGTATTGGGAACATTCTGTTGATGATTAAGCGTGTTTGATGAACCTGGGGAAAGCATTACTTGAAGCCTCAATGGACAATTGGACACTGCGGCCAGTGCCAGAACCAGATTGAAGTCGCAATTGGAATTTAGTATTTGTTAGAAGGAGCACTAGGCGGTGCCGCTAGAATCCTCAGGTGGACGAGGTCATCTTTCACATTGAACGGTCTAGAAATGTCTAATGCAGTATCCAGGCTTTTTATTAAATCGACGGTTTCCGAAGAGCTCGTCTGATTTGCTTCCGCCTGATGCTCCCGGTATCCTTGGGCAATGATGCTCCTCCTCGTTGTTGGCGAAAGGCATGTCTAGTCTGATTCGAAGTCTTCTGTTATTAGAAACTCGGTCCCACTTGTCACGGTTGAAAAGCTAGCAATCGTCAACTACGAGGTGTTATGTTTTCATTGTTTTGATCCTACGCGCTCCACCACAAGCATACACTATTTAAAAGACGCATCTCGAGTCCATCGTAAAAACTCCCTTTGTTCCAACCCCGGAAGCAAGAACCCAATTGTGATGGGGAATCTGGACTCCCGTGACTCGGACAATAACACAGCCAATCACTGTCAGATTAAGAGTGAGTGATGCTCAGATTCCTGATTGCATGGCTTCATTCTACTTCAACATCTATACATGAACCAACTCTTGGTCACACCCCCCTACAAGGTTACATGATCTTCCCCAAACTCCCATGCCAATCTAGTTAAAATTGATTCAACCACTCGGACAGTCACGATTTACCTGCTTTATTCAGTGATAGATCGGGTGAAATTGGAGGTAATGAGTTTTCAGAGACACCTTCATCAGCAAGAATAGGACGGAGATCCTTCCAGGGAATATTATCCACCATTTCCGTAGCTGTCTCAACCAGCTGCTGATATGTCGGCATCGGCAGAGGATTCCCCGTGGTGTCGTTCAATGGATTCTCAGCCATATCCAGATCGGGTAGCTTGCTCGCCAGGACATCGATCCTCTTCGCCCTCCTCTGCTCCTTTAATTTGTCTTTCTTTTTGATCATATTCGGGGTGGCCTTCTTAACTGGGTTCTTGGGCGCTTTAACCTCAACCTTCCTGCGCTTGCCTTTAACGATTTCCGTCCGTATCTCAGTCGTGTATTCTGTCTCTTCTTCTGGCTCTTCACCGTCATGAGTCTTCCTTCTCTGTTTCTCTCTCCTAGAAGATATTAGAATAGAAAGGGACAACGCACACGAGAGATCCTACCTTTCTTCGGCAGCTTCTGCGTTAAGGCAAAGTAGGCATTTTCTGTTCATGGTAAAAAACCAGTCCGGATGTTTGGGACAGGTTCTGTTGTGGGTGATACAGAAATTTTGAGGTCCAATTCTGCAGGCGGCGGGATATCCGTCGACCCTTCCGTCCAATCCAGGGCAATGGTGCCATGTACCCTTTCCTACATGAGGCATTTTGGCTCCCTAATTTATTAAAATATCCCTGGAGTGTAATTGCATGAAATGGCGACCTCTAGAAGAGCTGGCGGGCGTCCTGTTCTATGGTTCTTTTTCCTCGTTGAATTGAAGTCGTGCAGAACTGGGACACAAGGTATTGGTGAGAGTCATGGGAGGAAAGCTCATTGCAAGAAAGAAAAGGTTGTGTGCTCTTTGTTCTGCTGCATGCGGTGTTGGACTTGGGTTCTTGAACTTGACATCGAACAAAAGAAGACGGAATAGGCATCAATGGCCTTGTTGAGCCCGCGGAAACGGCAATTTCACTCTGGATCTATAGTTCCTCTCTGCGCACCCAGAACCGAGCGAATTGAAGTTATAATAGTCGTAGTACTTGACTACAGCTTGGTTGCCCTGATCCTCAACAGAGGATCCCGAGTTTCATTTCTTTCCTAGCGCATTCCTCATACTCTTACTCTTAAGCAAACCCTTTCCCCTGCCACCAGTGACGCATTGACCTGCCCAACTACACTTCCATCACTTGCACATTCACCAGACAACTCTTTCGCTCTGCAGAATATCCCTTCTAGGAAGGCCCCTACTCCAAACCATCTCTACCTGCGCTCCCGTGTAGCCTAACCTGTAGATAGTACGACGGGAGGGTCGTGCAAGCATTTGAAGTTCCGAATACAGGCGACTGTGCTGAGTTAGTTCGTGAGGGCTTCGTGGTAGTCGAAATCAATGATTTATATCTTTGGGGCCCTGAGTGGAACTGAATCCCAGCCATACAAGCCAGTTCCTGGTACAATTTTGAGGCCTTTCTTGTCTTGTCGAAACTATATACAATCTCGCAGGCAAGATGAACAAATAAATCCTTCCAATGCCCTAGATGTCACAAACCATTCCACCACCACGTTCTATCTATCTCAAAGCTCCCTCTCAGAGCATCACCACCTAATGCACTCGTACTCCCAACAAGCACCTCATACGTATCCCTCTCCACAACCCACCTATTCTTGGCCTCATCCCAAAAGCTCACCGTATACTTAATTTCCATATTAATACTAACCTCTTTCTTCACACCCGGCTCCAAAAACACTTTGCTAAACCCCTTTAATTCTTTCTCGGGCCTGCGGATCGATGGGTTTCGTTGCGCAATATACAGTTGTACCACTTCTGCGCCTGCAACGGTTCCTGTATTCGTAACTAAGCAGGAGATTTTCGAGATGCCTGTTTTGTCGTCTTTGGAGACGCGGAGGTCGGAGAGCGCGAATGTGGTGTAGCTAAGCCCATGGCCAAAGGGGAAGAGAACATCGAGTTCTAGAGCTTCGTAGTAGCGGTATCCAATGTAGATATCTTCGCCATACAAGGTCCGCCCTCGCTCACTCTTGTAGTGCAGATAAGTAGGGTTATCCTTGAGGCGCTTAGGGAACGTCAGAGGTAGTTTCCCGCTGGGGTTGATATCGCCGAAAAGAATATCTGCGATGGCGTTGCCGCATTCGTTGCCGCCATACCAGGCTTGGAGGACTGCAGGGACGTCTTGGATCCATGGCATCTCGATTGGGCTGCCGGCTTGTAAGACAACAACCGTGTTTGGGTTTCATTTCGCAACTCTCAAGATCAAAGTATCGAGATGGCCAGGGAGGGACATGTCCTGACGATCGTTCCCTTCTCCTTCCCAATCCGCCTGCAAATATTTCAGTACTACGGAGGTGTTGATTCAAGATTGCAGGGACTCACATTCAATCCACAGCAAATGACGACTTGCTCAGCATCCCTCGCCAACGCAACCGCCCTCTCGATCTCCTCCATCGGGTCGATTTTTAAAGCACCACCAAGACGAACGCCGCCGCCACCAAATCGTACAACGCCACCAGTACCAAGTGTATTCGTTGCTGCACTCCCAAACTCAACTTTAACGTGATAGGTCTGATTCTTCTTAACTTGGACAACCCCAATCTCTTCCACCGTCCCACACCCAAAGAATACCGTTCCTTGCCTCTGTTCCGTCGCATTATCAACCACCAAAATCCCATCAACAAACAGTCTCCCCGTCCCATAAACACACAGGCCAAACTCAAACTCGCCGTCCATCTCAGGCGTCATAAATCCCTCAATGTCCGCATACCAAAGTCCAGTTGTGTCTTGCGGGCAAAGGTAATCGAAGAGAAACATGTCCGTCTTCCTTACGATTTTGTAATCCACACGCTTTCGAGAGGGGGTGGAAGGGGGGTCGAGGTAGGCGCTAAAGGAGACACCGGGCTTTCCTTCTAAGCTTTTAAGCATGTTACCGAGGAGGGGGAGCTCTTTGTGGGAGTAGGCGCCGACTGTGTACTTGAGGTCCGAACAGCCTAGTTTCGAGACAATCCCATCGAATGGAGTAACTGCGTAATATGGCTCCAGAGCAGATGACCCGCCCCCACAAAAGGTCGATACTTTGGCGTTGGGTCCAATGACCACGGTCTATTCCAATTAGTTCTCTGGTCGTGATGTCTCAGTGCTGGAAATGAACCTACTGGCTTGTTTTTCGATAGTGGTAGAAGTTGATTGTTATTCTTCAATAGGACGATGCTGTCGCTTGCAAGTTTACGGAGGAGAGCGCTGGTTTCAGGGGTGTTAAGTTCAATCTCTTCGCCTCTCTCCTTGATCCCCGATGGGGCGCAGCGATCGACGAGCTTCAACATTGCCCTCGCACGCTCGTCTAAAGCGTCAAGGGAGATCTTGCCGCTTGAGATTGCATGACCCAATGCGTTGCCTCTGAATCGTGTGGGTCCAGGCATTTCTAGGTCTAGACCTGTGTTGATTGCTTCGGATGTCGAGTACGTGCCAAACCTTTGTTTACGTTAGATACAGGGGAAGGGAGAATATATCAAAAGCTCGTGAAGGCGCCCATACCAGTCACTGACGATAACCCCGTCCCATTTCCACTCATCCCTAAGAACATCTTGCAAAAGCCCCTTGCTCTCGCTCGCGTGCGTACCATTAACCTTGTTATACGAAGTCATGAACATCTTGGGATTCGCATCCCTTGCAACAATCTGGAAAGGAAGCAAATAAATTTCACGCAAAGCTCGCTGCGTGAGTTGCGCATCGTAGAGTGATCGCTGGTGTTCCTGGTCATTACAAACAAAATGCTTAATACATCCCGCAACGCCCTCACTCTGCAACCCCGAAGTCAAAGCGGCAGCTGCAAGACCAGCGAGAACTGGATCTTCTGATATCGATTCGAAGCCGCGACCACCTAGCGGTCCTCGTTGCATGTTGATACATGGACCAAGGATCACGTGGGCTCCTTTAGCTTTTGCTTCGTCGCTCATTAACTTGCCAGCTCTGAAGAGCAGGTCCTGATCCCAGAGTGCCCCAAGGCCCGTCCCACAAGGCAGTACCTTTATCTCGGTCAGTATAGAGTCGCAGGGAACGAGGATACTGACTTACTGCCCCGGGTGTCCCACAGAAGTTCCGTTGGCCTCGAACACCATTTGGTCCATCAGATAATCGTAATGATGGCACTCCATACTGTGGAAATGATTTCGTATGCCAGAAGTCGACACCTGACACCGTTTAGATATGTGGTCAAGAGCAGAGGTAATATCATTGACCTGATAAAAGTTCTACTTTTTCCCTCGTCGTCAGTTTCGACAGAATGTCCTCAACGTCGAGAGAGGCCATTTTCTTTCTTTACTTTTTTAGTAGCGTTCAAACTGCAATGAACATTGAAAATAAGATCCTGATATCCTAGTAAATGGTTCTACCAGAAAATTCATTGAACAGCTTGGCAGGCGTGTCACGGAAGTTTAACCAAAGGGCAAACGCTAAGGTGGTGGAGGTCCGGTATTCCGCGGGGCTCCATCTTCTCGGGAAATCGCCAATGAAAGCCTGAGTCTGCCCCACCGGCTGCCAGAATTCGCAGATCTACGATCCACAATTCCGCGGCCGGGGGGATGAGTTTACGCTGAACCCACTCCCACTTCTGTCAGTAGTTCTTCCAAGATGACTCTGGCTTTCGCAAAGTCCAGTGACTCCATTTCCCAGTACTTCAGGGTCGAGATGTGTTTGAGAATCAGCTGTTTCCACCCCAGAGGAACATCTAAATGGCCACATTTGACTGCGGCAATGATTCGAAACGCCGCAGATGTCCCTAAGACAATTAATTGTTAGACATTCTCCATTTGTATCTAATTCTCACGATATGGCTTACCGCTGCGAAGAGCATACCAAGTCCCATGGTGTCGGTGCCGGTGCGCAACGCTCTCTATGACACAAAAGGATAATTCAAGAGAATCTTGTACGAAACCTCGAATCAATATCTGATTGGGATCATCTGCCGGTTGATGTACAGCATAGAATAGGAACGGCCGACAGATCCAGGACCGAATCTCAACAACTCTCGCCCGGATAACGTGGGGGAGTTCTCCTTCGGGACGGATCCTGAGGTTTTGTTGGTCATATCGAAGAGAATCTGGCAATCTGTCTACCCTACAAAGATCTTCAGCCAAACTACCTTGAAATGATCAGAATTCTCGATGCATTTCATACCTCTGCTTTATTTCATTTTCAAACTTCTTTGCGACATTGATTATGGCAGGAATTGGAACATTCAACCACGAGGAGGAATCTTCTTTGAAAAAGGTGTTCAAAATACGGTTTCCAATACGACGAAGTGCAATCTCGGTTAAGTAGTAGAACCAACTTTCGCTGTATGAGGCCAGAGACTCTTGTCGACGTGAGTATGGTGTTGAGACAGCAGGTGAGGAAGAATCGTCTGAGGATCCCCCGTGGCCAAGCTTCGCCTCCGTTGCCGGTGAAGAAACCTCCGGTGGGTTTGGAAAAAGATGAGGGTACTCAATGGTGCCGAGTACTGAGACAGGTAGTGGAAGCTCTCCTCGCATTTCACTACATTTGTTAGAATAGTTCAGCGTGCAGAGGATCAGGTTCTAGAAGGATGCGAGACTTACGATTCTGACTTGAAACACGACCAGTAAAGGCATTGCTCCAGCCGAATTGTTCGCTCATTTGTAAGTGGCTTGCGAGACTGTAGACACATGTGGCACAACGTAGAAGCTTGGTAGAAGTTATTCCAGGCTTGGAGTGGCTGCATAACATACATGAGGTAGACCCCCGAGAAGAAGTAGCAGTGAGCGGTCATTATTGACGGGAGAAGGAGCCCAATGCGCTTCCGAGCAAGATTGTAGTATGCTTCGGCATGGCGCAAGTTTTGGCAGTCTTGCTTTACAGAGGTTGTTTCATGGGGGTCAGCCGAGTCTGCTGGTCTGAAATCCTTCGACTGGAAAGATTGGACAAGACAGCCCAGAGAACACGTAAGATACTATTACAATTGTCAATAAATTTCTATCACAATCTGGAATGAAAGAATGAGAAGACTTGCAAATTTCGAGCAGCAGAAAAATGAGAGTACCAAGAAAAGAGATCGGGTATATATTCAAAGCTTAAACACATTTGGATAAAAGGAGTTCTGGACATACAACTAAACAAGATTTCGAATCCCATTGGGGACCATTCTCTGCTACATTTCGGGCATAAAGACGCAGTGAATCTGGATGCAGAATTGGATTTTTAATATGGACCCCCGCGAGGAAGTCTTCAATCAGCCCCTCAATTTCTTCTTCTTGGACGCCGAAACGACCATGAGAGGAGCGCCCCCCATTTGATTTCCACGAGCTTCTACAAGGACCATCTGTCAGTCCTTGGTCAGCTGAAGCTTCCGAGGATAAAACAAAACTTTCATCGAGGCAATCAGCAGGATACTGTGCTTCGAATATTGGCCATTGGAGGATCTTGCTGGGACTTGTCCGGCAAGCGGGGATATATAAATACTTAGATGATGACAAACCATCTTGATCATTCGTAGAATATTGCGAGGCTGCATTCTGATCTCCCGTGCCATGGTTTGCTTCCCCATTTGGAGTATGGTTATGCCCTATAGGATCCGGGGATATTCCATTCCACATGCTCTCATCCTGTATTTGTTCTTGAACAACAGGTTGAAAGGTATCAGATCCCTGCTGATGCTGCCCACTCACGGGGCCAGACACGAGGTGGGTGTTCAGAGTGTCAATGATCTGATTCAGGCGTTCCAGCATTATCAAGCTGGCAGGGTCAAAGCTACGCCGGTCAAGTCAGAACGGTCACGTGGCTTTAGGCTCTACTTAAGGTAGTACTTGCGAAGAATGATCCAGGCTGTCTTCAAAGACGCAGTGTGCTCCAATCTGACTGCATGCCCCACATATTGGGCGTACATTGTTGCATTTCGTCTTTCTCGTCCGGCAGAGCTGGCAGGCTCTGACCAGGCTTGGCGATATTCCGGACCAATCGGTTTCTGCCGATTCGTTCCAGGGGTCTGGAACGGGCGGTAATGGAACGTTCCAATCGTTCCTAAGCGAGCTAATCCCTGTAGATTCTCGTTATTTTGCAAAGACTTCTATTAATTATGCTATTAAGAGGCTAAAAACCATCGTATAACCTCAGAAAGGCCTTTATTAAGCCGTAGTACTACTGCGAGTAATTCTACTACCACGAGGAGTCTTTCTTACTACACCACGTTGTGTAATTCGTCCTTGCTTCGTACGGCCACCCCCACTACTTCCACCACGTCCACCACGTCTACTATGTCCTCTACGACCTCCTGTACTAATCTCTCCATTACTATTATTACTACTATTATTCCCTCCCCAGCGATAGCTTGTAGTATGGTAGGGATTTTACCCCTATTGGTCACGTGGTACGGTCATGTGATCTCCGGACGTCCGCAGTCCGCAACCCGCTTATATATTACCCCTCTTTCCTTCTTAGTTTAGAAATTAACAAACCTTTACTCTCTAATTCCACGTCTTACTCTCCTATACTGTAATCCCACGCTGTGGAAGCCTATTCTACTATCTATATTACTCCGTATTTTATATCCCTATTATAGTAATATAATCTGGCCACTTGCAATTGCTATAGTAACTATCCTATATACCTACGATCCGGATATACTCAGGGAAAATGGTATTATTGAGTCCCGTATAAGTATATATAGTATAAGGAGTAGCCGTTATATTAACCCCTTCTTATTAAATGAGAAGAGTATTAATATAGGACTATTACTATATAAGGACTTGACTAATTGCAATGCGATTTGGATTGACGATTATATTCTGGCCAGGAAGAGCAAGGGCTTATTATTATTAATTATTATGGTACTATACTCTAGTTAGCTTTATTATATAGTAAAGGGTAAGGTATCGTATAAAGGGAGCAAGTTATTGGCCTGCAATACCGATTATCCATTGGCCTTGAGGAAGAGGCTGGTTTGTACCAAGATTAGGAGTACTACCAGTGCCAAAAGCAACGAAAGGAACAAGCCTTTAAAGATATTAGCTATCGTACGATAGATAGGATCAAGGATTAAAGGCTTACTGCTGGTTTGGGTTCGCAGGATCAGGACCAGGAGCAGGAGGCTGTATAGGGGGACCTATCTCGCCTCAACTTCCTTCTTGTTTCTTTATTAATACCACTACTTATACAAGAGCCTCTTATTGCTTTCTATCCCTTATAATTATACTATATAATAATAATATATTAAATAATCCAGCGCCTGGTAATAATCCCCCTGTGCAGCCTCCTGCTCCTGGCAGTGGTGGGGTAAACCTACCCCTGTCATTTTTGCCCTACCCCTGCCATTTTGGAACGATTGGAACGTTCCATTACCGATATTACCTAGTACCTGTCGATACCGGCCGGAACGTTCCGTGGAACGTTCCAGGGTGGAATATCGCCAAGCCTGGCTCTGACAGCTCTCTTCCTGGGATACGACATCCCCGACCTCGTGGTTTCGGTTCTCGGTCGTTTCGTGCTATGGCGTACAGCCCCAAGGGATGTTGGTTTGTCGAAAATCTCTCGTTCAGAAAGATTATTATCCTTCAGAGTCCTCGGACCCCCAGGCCGAACTTGCGACCGCTCGTCAATGTCTGGGTTATTATTGGTCACTCGGGGACTAGCATTGTGCACGTAGTCCTGACCCAACTCATCTTCGTGGTTGATCCGCCATTGAATATTGTCGTCCATGGCGCCCGGCCTGCGAAGATCAACGCCCGCTGCACACCATCAACGAAAAGCGTGCACTTTGTGCCTGTTCGGCGCTACGGGGCTGCCTAGGGCTGGCGTTAGGGTTGGATGTAGCGCGCGAGAAAGATGATAGATTTTGGCTTCGCTGAGTGCCGGACATGGAAGTTGATGAGCCTGCGGAGTGGCGGGGAGAAGAGGACGAGGGGAGACGAGTGGAGAGCACATAGTAAGGTGGGTACTCATTATGTAGGCCGTGGTCAGAAGTCAGGGTATACAGCGGCCAAGTGCTATCCGTTCCGCTGCTACCAGGTGCGCCCCGCGCTTACGATTTTCTCTTTAACTTCAATTTTTTTTTAAAATCTTCACGTAATAATATCAGACTTAGGTCCTCTTATTAGCCAATAAATAGCCTTTCAGTTAGCTCTTATACAGATTTTTATTTTGCTTTTATAAAGGATCTATAAATTGAAATGCGTTAGAAGATTCGGGTTTTTAATATTCCGATTTAAGCGGAATGCGCAGCTGGTAGCAGCGGAACGGATAATGCCCATAAAGTTTCTGCTTTAGTGCTAGAAGCCCCTATAATTATGGGATTCGAGCCTAAGTCTCCAAACATAATCTCGGGTATTTACATGGACTTCGCCCCGGCGTAAAATTCGTCAGACTAGCCTATAAAGACCTCAGGTTTCAGCGATTACTCCCTGTTCAACAGGGGCGTACGGGGCTAATGCCCTGTATTACTCAGTACTAGGGATGCGTAAAAAACGTTTTTTATATAAAAAACCGGTTTGTATCATATTTTATTGGTTTTATATGTATAAAAAACAGGATTTTATATTTTCACGTGATACTAAAGCGTGACTTACTAGCCCAATTAGGCTAGCTTACAAAAAACTTCTCTCGGAACAAACCGCGAAATCTGGTGTTTTCATTATTTTCTTCCTAATTGATTATATGCACGTGATTGTCATACAAATTAAAAACTATCGGAAATTATAAAAAACTGGCTTTTTATTACGAAAAAAATATAAAACAGCCGTGTTTTTTATTTTCCCGCATCCCTACTCAGTACTGTACCGAGACTTTTGACCGCGGTCTTCGTTACGAGTCAGGTAGCTGCCGTTAACGGGCCTACTAATAAACTTAATGTACAGTACCGGTAATATTTGCCTCCGTAGACCTCGACCCCCGACCTCGACTCTCGTCTCCCGAATCCCTAACCCCGCACCCAAACATCCCTGCATCCCCAAACCCCACCCGCAGAGACAATGATCACGATTCACGATCAAGATCAATATCAGGATCAAGCCGGGGAGTGCCGGGATACCAAGGCCGTGGACCTACCAGCGCCGAAGTAGCCCCGTAAGTCTCCCTCGTCCAAATCACACTCGTTAGAGTTAGAATACCGTCCGAATTGGGGATCGTCGCAGAGTTCTGGGATGAGTCGTGTATTTCGCTTTTGGGCTCACCGGCTTGATACTCTATCCGTGAGATGGACTTCCCTTTGTGCCTTGCAGTCCCAGATGTTTGGACCAGCGAACGCTAGATAGAGCTAGATTTCTGTCTCTCCAATTTTCGCATATTCGCATATATTTTGGACGGCCAAGCGCAATCGATCGAAACGGCCAACTTCTCCATTCTTGAGCAAAAGAAGTTCTCACACGCCCATCTAATTCTCAAAGGTGACTACTCTAAAAGTCTGTCTCTAAATTACACAGAACTTGGGATCTACAGCTTTACAATGGGCTCTACTGAACCAATTTTGCAGAAAGTCTTAGGCGTGGGCATTATCGGATGCGGGGAGGTCTGCCAAACGGTTCACCTTCCTACACTCGGCCATCTGTCAGATTACTTTCAAGTTACTTATCTTTGCGATGTGTCCTCAGATGCGCTCCAGCATTGTAAGAAGAAGGTAGCCGGACAGGAACCAGAAACCACGCGTGATGTGGCAACTCTTTGCGCCTCACCAAGTGTCGACGTCGTCTTCATCACCAATTCCAATGAGTATCACGCAGCCCACGCAATCATTGCCTTACAACACAACAAACATGTTCTACTAGAGAAACCAGCTTCGATAACCATCCGGGATGCGGACGCCATAGTCGCAGCAGAATCGAAGTCCCGTGGGAAAGTCTTTGTGGGATATATGAGACGATATGCAGCAGCATTTGTCGATGCGATTGAAGAGATCGGCAGTGTCGAAAAGATCCTCTATGCTCGCGTTAGGGGTACTATCCCTTTCTCGTCATACTGTTGAGCAACGGCAGACACTGACAGTAAGTAGATATCATTGGACCCAATCATATCTTCGTTGATCAATCTGGCACCTTCCCCAAGAAATTTTCAGATTTCGCACCTGCAGACACCGAAGACATCGTCAACCGGAACACAGAACTTCTGACGCAGGCTCTGGAAGTTGAGTGTGGCGTGGAACAGACAGATAGATCAAAGCGATTCTGGCGCATCTTAGGAGGACTTGGAAGTCACGATTTGTCCGCCATGCGAGAAACACTCGGAATGCCCACATCCGTCAAGGGAGTCTCTTACAACTTTCCATTTTGGAAGTAAGTCCAAACACTTCACCCCACATATTTTTTCGGAATGCTCCCAACATGTAGCTGACTGATGCTTATTGTAGTGTCTTATTTCAATACCCTGGTTTTGCAGTGTCGTACGAATCGGGAATGGATCAAGTTCCGCGATTTGACGCACACATCGAAATATACAGTGCGAAAAAGACAGTCCGAGTACAATATGATACACCTTATGTCAAGGGCCTTCCAACCACGCTTCACATTTGCGAGAATGTTAACGGTGCTTACAAAGAATCGATGATCAGAAGGACATACGAAGACCCTTACACATTGGAGATTATGGAGCTCTACAAGATGATAGTAGAGGGAAAACAGATCAAGACAACAGCTGCCGATGCAAAGAAGGACTTGGAAATTTTTGGCATGATTATGAGGGCAGGTTTCCCGGTGTTAGACTCTTCGAAAGTCAAGAGCAATGGATATGCCGTACAGGATGGATGTTGATTTAGACCATGAAGGTCGGAAACTAGCAAAGTAAAGACACATCTAATTACTAATTTTATCTTCAAGAGAGTCTTTGATTTCGGATTTGATGACCTGTGAACCGAACAGTAGGCCCAGATGCCCCAAGGTGAAGGCGACGCTTCAAGCAAATGTACCTCCACAACCAGGGACATCGAGTTCCTTGACATTGTTGTGAGAGGCGCTGGAATTAACCGAAAATCAACTCCTTATCTCCTTGTCTACCGGACCACTAGCCGGGAATGTCTGGAAGTGAGATTTAAAACTTTCCACTGTTACCGGTTACGAGTCATTGCGAAAGCTTCTTGACCCCGGACCCATGATTCCTCGTCTGGAGGAGTGGCGGGGACTGCCGGGTTTGGCGTAGGTGAGGGAAGCTAGCGCAGTGGCAAACATTTTCACCCAGTAACATCCCCTGTGCACCAAACTTCTCCCCTCTTGCTCCGCACCCTGCTCTCCGCATTGTGCAAAGTAGGATTGTTCCCCGGAATCAACTCCTGACATCTTATGGAGCTGGAACTGTTTTCTACATAAGAATACCAATGCATCCAACTCCCAGCTGTGTTCGAACAAGTCATCTATCCTCACCTCTGTTGTCCCTTCCCACAACATCTACATCTACCCGACCGACAGGATTGCCAACACGCCCACAATTTCTTCACCATGGGTGCAACCCGAGGAGCTACACACGCTGTCGGAGCTGACTTAGCTGCCGTACGTTTTCTAATCCTCTTTCAATGCGGAGTTCCTTTCGAAGTATTTCCTTCGCTAACAAACCCCTTAGGTGCTCCCTCCAAATGCCAAGCCTTGGTACAAAACTCCTTACCTACTGAAACTTAACATCCTCTTGTTCATGTGCATGTTGTCCTCCAGTACCATTGGTTACGACAACTCTATGATGAACGGGTTGCAAGCGCTGGCTCCCTGGCAGACATTTATGCGGCATCCCAAAGGCGCATATCTCGGTCTGATAAACGCCACTCAAGCCATTGGAGGTTTTGCGGCCTTCCCTCTCATGTCCGTTGTTGCTCAGAAGTATGGCCGCAAAAAATGTCTCTATCTTGGCTTCCTTCTCATTACAATCGGAACAGCACTTCAGACCGGCGCCACCAATCGCGAGATGTTCATCGTCTCCCGCGTTTTCGTAGGTCTAAGTTCCGCTTTCTTCGGTGCGGTACCTATGCTTGTGGGTGAGGTAGCCTATCCCACCCATCGGGGAATCATCACTGCCATGTTCTTTCCACTTTACTATGTGGGCTCTCTCCTGTCCGCATGGGCAACTTTCGGGACGCGAAACATGAAGAGCGACTGGTCCTGGCGAATCCCATCTATCCTTCAAGTCGGCATACCGGTGGTGATCGTTGCCTTCGTCATCCTTGCACCAGAATCCCCACGCTGGCTCGTTGCAGCAGGCTGCAACGAAGAAGCTCGTGCTTTGTTAACCACGTACCACGCTGGAGGTGACGAGTCATCCCCGCTGGTAGCATTCGAGATGGCGGAGATTGAAGAAACCCTGCGGCTCGAAAAACAATTCAAGAAGGAAGCTAGCTACCTAGACATGTTCCGAACAAAAGGCAATCGGCATCGTCTCTTCATCTCGGTGACTCTCGGGGTGTTCGCACAATGGAGCGGAGTCGGCATTATCTCATATTACCTGGTCTCAGTGCTGAAGACCGTCGGAATCGCATCACCTACCCAACAAACCCTGATCAACGGGTTTCTACAGCTATGGAATCTCATTGCCGCAGTCACTGCCGCAGGGCTCGTCGACAAACTTGGTCGACGATTCCTATTTATCACTTCGTCGGTTGGGATGCTCGTTTGTTACATCATTATGACTGGCCTTGCTGGCCGCTACGCACAAACGCATCACGCTAGCGTCGGTATTGCAGTTGTTCCCATGCTCTTTCTATACTATGGCTTTTACGACATTGCCTTCACGCCGCTTGTCGCTGCTTACCCTGTCGAGATATGGCCATATGAGCTTCGCTCGCGCGGTGTGGTTGTTACACATGCATTAACCTATGCTGCATTGTTCTTCAATCTCTTCATTAACCCAATTGCCTTGGCCGCTATTGCATGGAAATACTACATTGTTTATGTCGTTATCTTGATCATTATCTGTTTGACTGTCTTTTTTTCGTACCCAGAGACGAGAGGTCATACTCTGGAGGAGATTGCTGTAGTATTTGATGGGCCTAGTGCACACGTGGCAATGCCAGAGAAGGTTCTGGAGGCTGTCGAGCACCAGGTAATGGAAAAGAAGACGGAAACCCAGATTGAACATGTGCGTGAGTAGTGGACACGTCAGCGATCGATATGTAGAAAGATGAGAGGGTTGAGTTCCAGCTATTTCTATACAGAGAAGTAGTCCAAAGAAACCCACCCTTCAAACAGAAATGCCCGAGGAAAAATTGTTTCCTTCTCCGCAAATCCGCTTCAAATACGCACCCTAGTGCATATGGTTCCAGAATTTTCATAAAAGCCGAGCCTTTTCTCGATTCCACGGTTGAAGTTCGCTGAGTCCTTGTGTCGAGGTGGTTTTTTAAACAATACCACAATCAATTCTGAATTTCTTCACTCAAAAGTATGGAACCAAGAGAGCTTCCAGTTCTCAGATGGGGAATCGTGGGCAAGTTTGATATACTTTCAATTATTATCCAAAGGACTAACACGCCATCTCCAGGGTGCGGACTCATCTCTTCCTGGTTCGTAGCAGACCTGGTTCTCCCTCGGGCTACAGCACCAACAAACCATGTCATCCAGGCGCTCGGATCGTCCAGCGTCTCGAAGGGCCACAGTTTTGCAGAGAAGCACTGCCCATCTCATCATCCCTCTATCTATGCCTCCTACGAAGATGTCTACAATGAGCCGGAGGTTGATATCGTCTATGTCGGAACACCACATGTTTTCCACTTGGAGAATGCACTGGGAGCCATAAAGGGCGGAAAACATGTCCTTGTTGAGAAACCAATGACGATAAATGCGAGAGATGCAGAGATATTGATTTCTGCGGCGAAAGAGAAAGGAGTATTTCTCATGGAGGGTGCGTTCAATTATTTTCCAGCACCACTAAGCCTCTTAAATCTCACAATTGGAAAAATAATAAATTGTGTCTTTATCCAGCACTCTGGACACGCTTCAACCCCCTCGCGGCCCATCTCCAAAGACTGCTCCACCAAGAACGCATCCTCGGCCCCTTACGCCGAGTTTTCATAGACTTCTCCCTGTACATGCCCTTCTCTTCTCTCCCAACAACTTCCCGCGCCTTAGATCCATCCCTCGGTGCCGGTGCTCTCCTCGATATAGGAATCTACACTCTCACGTGGGCAGCCCTGATACTAGATTCTCATCCCGACCACATCGCAGCTGGCTCGCCACCACCCTGGATGGCTTCAACAATGTCTTTGACCAACGGCGTCGATGAGACTACAGCCATAATATTGAATTATAAGGACTTGGGGTGTCAAGCAATTTGCACATGCACTTATACCTATCCTGGGAAAAAGGAATTCTGTCGTATTGAAGGAGAGAAGGGTGAGATTGTCATTGGGGCCCCGATTGCAGCAAGCAGCCCCGGTTGGTTGGAGGTCAAGGTTAGCGGGAGGGAGGAGAGGATTAATGTTGAGAGGGTGGAGGGAGCGAAGGGCTTTTATTTTGAGGCCGACGCGGTGGCGGAGGATTTGAGGGCTGGGAGGTTGGAAAATGATGTGTGCCCCTTGGGGGAGAGTTTGAGGGTTCTAGGATTGATGGATGCGGTGATAGGATTGATGGATGCGGTGAGGAAGATGAATAGTTTAACGTATCTGCGGGATGAGAACTAAGGCCACTTTACGAGCGCTTCAAGTTACCTACCTGTCTGGTACTAATTCATAGCAATATATCCATTTGTTAGTGAAATTGGCATTTGGCCGGTGAATGGAACAAATTCTAAGCTCCTAACCAATTCTAGAAAGACTGCATGAGAATTTCTTGATACCCCATTTCTCGGGAACTATCCCTATGAAGCAATTACTGACTTCCTATTTACCTAGGTATTGACTTCGTGACATTCGTGTCCTATGCTATATATGGGATGTTCTACATTACCTGAGATATTATTCTAGGAGAATGAAAATAAAACTATTTCTTCTATAAATGCAAGGTTTTAAAATAAGAACTATTTCTTTGAAATTTAATGCTTTCCTTATTATAATACATTATAAAAGCCTTTAATAAGATATTATTTAAGCTAGTATTATCTCGAGTAATATTAAAAAAGATATATTAATATAAATTATTTATTTAGTAAAATTATATTTAATATTATATTATTTTAAAGCATTTAATAAAACAAAAAGTATATAAATATTAGAATATATATTATTTAAGTCCTTTATTACTAATAAATAAAGTTTTAATATAAAATTCTTATTTACAAAATATTTAAAAGTATATTAATATAAATATTATTTAATAATTATAAGAATATATAAACTTAAATTATAATTTCAAGAAATGTCTTTTAATTTATAAAAATATAAGTATTTAAAATAATAGAAAAAGTTCTTTAAAATTTAAAATTTTTTAGAAATTTATTTTTAATATTTAAAATTTTTTAAATATAGCTTCAATTAAGCTTTTTATAAGTATTTTTAAATATAAAAAAGATATTTAATAATTAAATATATAATAAAACTTATTAATTATAAAACTAAATAAATGTTTTTTAAAATAATTAATAATAAAGCTCTTTTTTTAATTTAATTACTTATTAAAAAAATATTTATAATAGATTAAAAGACTTGAAAAAAGGCCTTTATTTTTATTAATTAAATGTATTAATAAATAAAGCTTTTTAATTAATATTAAATAACTTATTAAGATATTTTCAAATATATCGAGTATAAATAAGTTTTTATATATAATTAAAATATAGAAAAGAAATAAAAATCGAGAAAATTAATATACTTTTATAGAAAGTTCTAATATTTTAAAGGCTTTTTAATTATTCTTTTAATTATTCTTTTAATTATTCTTTTAATTAGAAAGAATTTCTTTATTTTAAAGATTCTAATCTCTTGATTTCTGATTTTTTACTAATAAAATTACTATTATTATATAGTTCTTAAATCGAGATACTTCTAGAAATATCATTTCTTTATTTAATAAAACCTGATTTATATTAGTAAAGAAGTCTGGCTTAAAGCAAAAACGCGTGCTTTTATTTAGAAACTTATAAGTTATTAATTATATTTTTATTCTAAACCAAGTTCTTTTACTAAATAAAGAAATATAGGTTCGGCTTTTTTATTAAAATACTATTATTACTTAATTAGGTAATAAGGTAATATTAGAATAAAAATACCCGGGGCTTATTTAATAAGGCTAGCCTATTATATATATACTATTTATAAATACTTTAATTAGAACATAAATAAAATATAAATAAAAGCTATTATTTTATTTTATTTATTATTTATATTAGTTACTAGTTATATTATTATTTTCTTCTAATATAGCTTAATAAATTCTTTTATAATTAATTCGATTTAAAAGTAATAAAATAATAAAAAGCCTATTAAAATACTAATTAATATAAATTATTTTAATTAGAATTATTATATATCTTATAATAATTAATTTTCTAATCTCTAATTTTTAATATCTTTAATATTACGGGAGTTATAAAACATATAATTATTTTTTATATAAGTTTATATAAAAGATTTCGCGTTTTATTTAAGTAAAAAATTATATTTTATATAGTATATAAAGCTTATTTTTTTACTAGAATACTATTATTTATTATTTGCTATTTATTATTTCTTTTTATATATTATATATAGTATTTAATTAGTTATATAATTCCGAAATTATTTCTTATTAATATATAATCTTTATTTATAATATAACTTATAATAAAGCTTTCTTTTATAATTAAAAGTAATAATATTTAATAAAAAAAACTTTCTTATTATTTCCTATATTAAATTATAGCTTGACTTATAGCTATATAGCCTAAATAAGATATTTCTTTCGAGAATTATTAAATATAAATATATTAGATAATTAATTATAATAATAATCTTTTCTTATTTTAAGCCGAGTTTATAAGATATATATAAGGCCCTTAAGAACTTGAATTTATTTCAAGAATATATTAGTTTACTAAAGAAATAACTATTAGCTATTTAAAGCTATTTTATCTAATTCGAGAAAAAAAATTAATAAAAAGCTAGGAATTCCGAGAGCTACTAGTATATAATAATTTAATTAAAGGAATTATTTCTAATATTAAAGGCCAGGCTTTTATATTGAGAAAACTAGTAGTTTTAATATAAGAAGAAATAATTAAAGAAAGAAAAACAAAGTCTTATTCTTATATAAGCTAAATATATATAGGCTATATATTATATATTTCTATAGCTATAATAATAAAGATTATATAACCGAATTATATAACTGAATTCAAACTACGGGTTTAATCTATTATAGCTAGAATTACTTATTAAAATTAAACTTTTTTCTTTTAATATATAGCTATATCTTATAATTTTTAATAAATATTACTATATTTAAATTTTTTTACTAAATTGAATATATATTAAAAAAATAAAAATTCAACTTTAATAGGTAATTCTAGCCGTATTATAAGATTAAAATAAATATATATTTATTAGGATATTGAAAATACTATATTATATTAATATATTAAAGGTTTCATAATTATAATAAAGATGTAATTAAAAATTGATTTTTTGGCAGTGGGCGGATGGGGGTTTGGGCAGTTGGCCAGGGATACTTCTAGTAACGGCGAATAGGTTAAGAAGTCTTCAGGTACTTTGGAAGTCCACTAACCAAATTACAGAGGACCATCCACAGATACCGTCTTGTAAGAATCAATCCAAGCCGGTTTGCAGACTATATAAACTTTAGTAAGCGCGCTCCAGAGAAATAGACTTTCGTCCAAATTTGAGGATTACGCTGCTTCCTCTTGGCTGTTCTCAATTGCTGCCCACCATGGCACAGGTGACGCATTGCCTAGTCCACGCACCAGCCATGGCCATTGCCAAGTCTGACAGCATTTGATGCAAGGAGTGCTTCGTACTGTCACCTACAAGGGGATTCCTGATCGAGAAACCGACAGTGCAAGCCTCCATCTGGCGGTTCTCCAACGAATCAGCGCCTCTGAGCTTAAGGCATCCTATGAAAGTTCATGTAATTGTGGGGTATATCCTGGAGTTCTTCGCGGCTGCGCATCGGACCCTCCGTCTGAGTATAAGAGGGCAGCGTTCCCACCTCCAGACGCCTTCATTCCCAGCCTCCTTCTAATTTTTTAGTATCCTTACAATTCGATGCCATTACGAAGATGATACCTGCAGAATTCGACTTGGTAAGGAACTGTGACGATGGACGCGAACTTCATGTCAATACTGGTGTAGAAAGGACTCGCAAGGCCGATGTTACCGTTTCGAATTCATTAATCAAGAGCATCTTCATAACCTTAGCCTGTTCTACTAAATCGTCTTTCCACTTCCAATCCAGTTATCTCTCCAGAATTATTTGACACCAAAATATCTGCTCGGTCTTCAGAATCTCAATTCTAATTCCAATGAGGAATCGAATCATAACCCTTCATCACGAGGTAATTCAACAGTCGAGAGCACACGCGGCAGACCCCTCTCACTCAAAGACGTCAACTCCATCGAACCGACACCTGATTCACCATACTGATGTGCCACGGAGTCAGGTGTTCCTTGCCCATTCGACTGCAATATCGATGTATGCTGATCATAAGGCCATATTGCAAGCCATTTACTGCCAAAGTTCTCCGTCCAATCTTTTGAACTGAGTGTTGTCATTGCAGGATCAGGGTGCTCTGCGTTTAGGACGGCTCTGCCCAGAGAAGAGTGGTTCATGTAATATGAAAGCATAGCTCCAGTCACTTTGCGCGTTATGAGGAGACCAATGGTAATAACCAGTAGTCCGACCCATAGACATAATACCAAAAATGCTGGTATAGCAAACAAGAGATTGCTGTAGACAACCACAGAGTGATGTTCGTAAGCCTGTCTCTGGCCCAGCACTCCTGAGTCTTGGGTAGCGGGGCTTTTCTCAAATCCAGTCGTGGTTCCAACAACAGTGGAAGCCACGAGATCGGTCCAAATGAGATTCAGGATTATAGCAGCTCCATGGGTTGTGTTGGAAAGCTCGCGCCATTTCAGAAATAGTGAATACTGGATATTGCCTGAGTAAGAAGGTAGACCGCCGAAGGAGATACCAGCTATCCAAGCTACTTCCGTATAGGCGGTGTTCCAGGCGGCTGTAAAAACTGAAGCAGCAGCAAGGTTATCTTTGAACACGCTCATATCGTTATTTGCATAAGCAACTGGAAGGTAAAATTCTTTCCCTCGAATGGTAGATATCTCGGTATCATTCTCGTAAATGTCGCTAACGAGTCCCCAGAGTAGATTTATGTCGCTGATGTTGAGGTTTTGGGATGGGTCTACCTTTTCAACTCCCCACAATGGCTCATCTTCTGTATTGGTATAGTTCTTGTCTGTAATACTCGAGACGACAAGATTACTCAAGCTTGAGGTTCCATTAAAGGTGAACTCCACCGTCTTAATTATTGCCTTCACAGAACTGGCACAGGTATATGCAGGCTGTCCCACCATACTATCTATCTGAAATTCAGTTTGATCGGGATCATCAGGAACAGCAACTCCATAAAGATTTCCACATCTAATATATGGTTTCAATGGGTCGGGCTCGTTGAAGCCGTCGAAACCAAAACAGCGACGACCTTTGATTTATTAGTCTTCTTCAGAAGATAGTAATACGATTGGGTGTCCTACCGTATTCTAGAAAGTAGCTTGTAAAGTTGAAAGCCTCCTTGACTCCCGGGATCAAATCCCCGAAGTTGCCGATGTAACGATCAAGATTTGCAGAAAAGAACTTGTATAAATTGTACGGCATCGCTTGATCAAAGATCGCCCCATCTATATTGCTGATTGTAATAGCAAAAGGGTTTACGACAATTGTGTAGTTTGTAAAATGTTGGCCGTACCGTGTTCCAACACGCGTGGTAGAATTTGCGGATATATTCAACGCAGCAGCGGTGAAGAAATTGTCCCACCAAGCCCCCAAAAAAGGTCTCTGAGCGAGATCGGGGATTGGCCCGGTGATATTCCAGAGAGAATCGGGACCATAGATGTCCCAACGAGGAGAAGGGATGCTCCAATTCCTGTAGACGAAAGCACCATCGTCCTGCAAATAGCTGTTCGATGCAGAATTCGGACTTGTCCCTGTGTTTAACACAGGGAAAAACTCATTGACATGTGAGTTGCCAAATGGAAAATGTATTGAAAAGTTGTTTGCTGTACAGACGGTTTCTGGTTGAATCCAAAGAATGTCTTCTTGCCAGGTGGCTCCAAGCTGAAGGCCAATAGGAATAGTATGGTTACGAAAACCAACGCCACCGTTGTTTGGATCCACAATGAGGCCTTCGACTATCGTGAAGTTAGTATTCAATAATAGATTCTGCATCGGTAGGGTCAAGCCGACTACTATTTGCTCATTGTTGGAGCTTTGATTCTGGTAAAAAAACATGTTCCGGAATTGAATATCTTTTGGACCTGCGACTGTTGTCCCAATACTCCCAGAGGAGAGCTTATCAAATAACTCATTAGATGGTGTACAATCTGTGAAAGCCGAGGTTCCACAAGTCCGACCAAGTGGCTGCGAGGGTCGTGGAGCAGTTCCTTGCCCGAAAAACGTCAAGTCAGGAGCATACTTGAACGACACAGTGGAAGAATCGTCTCTGGGCTGTATTTGCTGAACAAGGGGCAGTGGGGTGACAATGTGAACCGCGAGTTGCAGAACAATGGCGACAGTGAGTGTTATAGAAGCAACATTAACTCGACGAGCCACAGACTTGGTACGAGCGCTATCAGACCGCAGAATCATGGGCCAGAGAGTTCCCTGGAGAGTCTTCGCTGCGGTTGACCAAGTCGAGGCGTTCAATTGTTTGTTCCTGATCGACCATACGAGAATAAGGGCAACGAATAAGGGCAAAGTGAGGGAAACCGCGAGCCGTCAGCGAAGGCCAACTGTATAATTAGACCTCAGTCATGTCTCACCAATGGAAGCTACACCGCTAATTATTCCAGCAACCTCTCCGACGGTCATTCCACGTTGTAGAACTTGTAATAGGTTCATGTTCATATTCTGTCTCCCAGATGTTTTTCACTCAGGTGTCGATATTTTTGCAGGCTTGGGAAAGTACGACAGGAGGGGAGAGAATCCGGCGATGGTGGAGGTTAAGTCTGTTTTAAGAGGCTGAAAAAGGTATGCACCAGAGTCCACGAATTTGCAGAGACATATGTCTCACTCTCTCAGGATCTCTGAGCCCTTACACTCAAGAGTACTGAGTTTATTAGACCGTGGCTGAAAGACAGGGCGCCTTGCAACCTAGAAAAAGCAACTTAAGGGGTTGAGGCTTGACGGGAAGCGCCATTCTCGAACTCTCTTGGCATACCTTAGCGAGTTCGTGGCTGGAATGAGTGACAATTAGCCAATTATGACTTGTGTAACGTTGATTGACCACGCAGGCTGGCTGTGACTCTCTTGCTGGTGAGACATTGCAGCCTCACTTAATCCACTCGATCGCCGATCAACCAAAGCGATGACTGGGCGTTTAGCGGCTCTGAGGAGCAAACAAGGCTACTAAAGCAGCCTTTAGAGAGAACTTTGAGACATAATCAAACACAGAGCCGCTTGCCTCGCACCTCGCTAACGCGGTCTTCTCAGCTGCGGCGTGGCCGATCAAAGTATTCTAGGTGGAAGAGCCGAATGCAAATAGTGAGCCAACACCGAGTGTTGTGAAGGTAGAGACTTTGGGGTTGTTGGAAGAGGAAGAAGAGGAGGAGAAGCGAGCGGTGGACGTCGCGAGATTTTCATCCCTTCGTCTGGTGAGACATAGTCCACGCTAGTAAGGGGGCCTGGCTCAGGGCGAAAAGGCGATAGATGACTAACAAGTTTTTAAGCAAAGGTACGACTTTACAGTTCTGAGCTAGGACCCCCTTGCTAGCGTGGAGTATGTCTCACCGGACGAAGGGATACCTCGCGAAAGCGGCGGCGGGCACGTGTGCGTGCCTTGCCTGATGCTGCAGCTGCGGTTTCCTAATACGGGCTTGCCCTCTACTCTTTTACTAATTTAGGTTTTCTTAATATATAATAATAATAATTATTAATTATAATTAAATCAAGTCAAGTTAAAATTTACTAAATCAATTTATAATTAACTATAATTAATTAGCCTTGATTTTTTTTTGGATTTTTTTTTTGAATATACTAGCCGTATGCAATTCGCTCTCGGGTCTTGGGCGTGCCGTATCCCTTCGTCCGGTGAGACATGTCCAGCGCTAGCAAGGGGGGTGTGGCTGCACGCAAGCCTCATCTCGTTTTATTACGCTTCAAGAGGCTTGCGTGCAGCCACACCCCCCTTGCTAGCGCTGGACATGTCTCACCGGACGAAGGGATAAATGTACTCTATATGTCGTATTACCCTATTGAGACTTGTTAACCTCGTCAGTTACGGGGCGTGGGAATTGCTGCAGAGCCTTCCTCTCAATGTAGCTCCCTCCGATGAAACCCGTAGTATATAATAGTCGGACTTAACGTCGCGACTAAAAGGGGCCCTTCCCTTTAGTCGGGGAAAGCGAGTTGGCCCGCGAAAGCGAGATGGCCCGCGCCAAAACGCGTAAATTTGGAATTTGTATGCAACTCCCATAGTAAAAATCAATTAATTTGTGTATTACCAGCCCACAAAATTTGTCCAATTTAACTGCAATAGCTCGCCTGAGTATCCTACCCATAAATGCGCTTCTGTGCGATATGCCAGAGAAGGATAAGCTTCGTGAGGCTATCCAATTCCTAAAGGAGAACCCAGAGGAGAGTCCCACCACTGCTATACGCGCGTATGGTGTCAGGAGCGAAGATGCTATACGGAAAGCATGGCGGAGAGAGAGGAAGAGGATAGAGAAGGAGAAAGTACAGTAGGGAGGCCAGAACAAGATCCTATGTCCTGATTAATACGAGGCATTAATTTAGTATGCGGTATTATATGCGATTAATGGAGGGAAAGGAGCCACAAAGCAAATAATATATAACTACGTAATGTGGATGCGAACGGAGGATAATAAGACAGCTCTCTCTTGGAAGTGGTTCTCTCAATGGCTAAAGAGCACTCCAGAACTCCATATGATTAAAACGAAGCCTATTGCGAGCTACCGCGTTAATCTCTATACCAAATAAAGCCTTTGCGACTGGTTTGAAACCGAATATTGTCTGGTACTTGAGGAAACTGGTATATGCCATGGCGATCGGATATATAATATGGACAAGAAAGGAGCTCGAATTTATATGCCTATAGGGGAGGAAGTAGTTATTCTAATTAGAATTAAGGAGATATATACCGGAATACCAGAAAATCGCATGTCCCTTATAATAATCGAATATATATCTGTAGATAGCAAGGTAATTCCACCGGTAGTTATTATTCCTGGAATTATGATTATGGTTTCTTAGTTCCACGAAAATATAACCGGTTATAAGGTTATTATAGTCTCTTCTACCGGATATACGAATAAGGGTATTTATATAGTTTGATTAGATTATTTTATTAAGTATAATAATTACGGTCCTAATAAGAAATGGTATATTTTTTTGATTAATAGAGTAACTTGCTACTAAGCGGACAATTTTATCTTAAAAGCTATATTTAATAAGATATGAATTATCTAATTTCCCTCTTACTAAACCTACCTACTTTAACCGTATAATATTAGTGTTTTTAGGGAATGGAAATACTACTAATAGGTTAATATTATAAATGCGATTCGCTTGTATGAGCCGGAATATAATATCTAGTACTTCTTTCGCAATCTTCCTGGAATAAGAGAGAAGACGTTTACTATTCGTATAATTAAACATGCCTTTTAGAATACTGGAATTTGGCCTATTAGTTTTAAAGCAGTATGGAGAAAGCTCAAGGAGTATGGCAAAAAGAGAAGGAAAGATACTAGCCTTTAATTCCTGGAGTTTGGATCTAAATCGGAAACTGAATCGGATATAGAAAACGCACGATTTACTATGCCTGCTCCTGCTCCTGTTTATGAATACTAATTACCTACCCTTCCAAAACCTCCTTCTTTATATAACGAATACGTTCTATGGCTCGATAATCTCAATAATAAGATTCTGGATGCTTTAAGCTCCTCCCCTTGCAAAGAGTATTTAGTTATGATTAAGGCTCCAAGAATCACCTAATGCTTAGAAGTTTATAAGAGCTGGATACCCAGAATGCTCGCAAGGTACAGGTTGAACGTTATAAGGCCAAGCTAAACGCACGACTTAGTTTCTAAAGAGGGGGGTGGATGAACGCATCTAATGCTCTAGTGAAGAAGAAGATTAAAGTGAGGAAGGTAGTGGAGGAGGAGCTAAAGAAGGCAAAGAAATAGCTTGCAAAGGCCGAATTAGCTGAGAAGGAGGCTCTAAAACGAATTGGAGTTGCTGCACGAGCGGCAGAGAGAGAGAGGAAGAAGATAATAAAGGATCTGGAGGCATAGGCTAGAAAGCGAGTCCTTGGAGTTAATATGATTATTCCCCCCGAGCTTCTAATACCGATTCGCGATCCCCAAAACGAACCTATAGAAGACGAGATTGAAGCTATTCGAATCAAGCACTAATTATTCTATGATAAGGTAGCTAAGGAGCAAGCTGAATTCGATCATATATAAGCCAAAGACCCCGTAATCTTTACAGATATCCCCATTGACCCTATAATACTCGCATCAGAACAAGCCCATCGTGCGAAGAGGAACCCTCTTAGTCAACTATATATAAGGGCAATATTAGTGGAATCTGGGGGGTCAGATAAGGAGATAGAGAAGGCAAGAGAGGGTATAAATAGTGGGGTTAGTGGGGGGGAGGTAGTTCTATGTTCTTTACTACCTAGATCAGTAATATTGACTAATTCAATAGCTCAAAATGCAGATTTCGTAGCATTAGAGTAATAAAATATTATATCTTTAATTGCCCATAAAATGGAGGGTTATCTATTGTGTGGTGCAATATAATTGTCCACGGTCGCATAGTAATTTTGGTTTGGCGCGGGCCATCTCGCTTTCGCGGGCCAACTCGCTTTCGCGGGCCAACTCGCTTTCCCCGACTAAAGGGAAGGGCCCCTTTTAGTCGCGACGTTAAGTCCGACTATTATATACCCACCAACCAAGACGACTTTGCTGACCCAGCGCTTTGAAACACCCCTGCGCATGTTGGAAATTACATGTCTGACCCCAAAAATTCAAATATCGATTTATCATGTTGTGGTTGGGACTCGGACTCGAGAGCTACCCTAGCATCTCCCAGGCAGTGATCTACGCTACAGTTCCCATCACCTCCTATGTCGCCTACATCGTCGTCTACCGTCTCTTCTTCCACCCGCTCGCGCAAATCCCAGGCCCCAGGCTCGCAGCCCTCACCTTCCTCTACCAGACCTACCATAGCTTCAAAGATGGCAGTCGCTTCTACAAGCAGGTCGGACTCTTGCACAAGAAATACGGCCCTATCGTGCGCATCACCCCCAACGAAGTCTCCTTGAGCGACCCCAAGAACTACGAGACGATATACTATGTCAGGTCGAAGTACGCAAAGGATCCAAGATACTACGATGCCTTTGGCATGGAATATGCCTCCTTCACCTCCTGTCCCAACGAGCTGCACCGTCTCCGTCGCGAGCCATTGAACAAGTTCTTTTCGCGGGCCATGGTGCTGGAATTGCAAAGCATTGTGCAGAAGAAGGCTGACAAGCTATGTGCTCTGATCGCGAAGAATTCAAAGGCGGGAGAAATGCTGGATATTCACCATGGATGCCGTGCTGTGTCGATTGATGTTATCACGGAATATATGTTCAGCAAGTGCTATGATCTTCTTGATGCCCCGGATCTAGGCACCAATTTCTTTGAGCTGGTCAGAGGCATTGGCCCTGCGCTGTGGGTTTTCCAGCAGTGGCCAGAGCTGAGAATCATGAACGGCCTTCCCCCATGGATGTTGAAAAAAATGAGTCCGCCTCTTGCGCAGATCTTGAACCTGCAAGAAGTATGTCTTCCCCCAAACCGCACTCCTCCCAAATCCCTCCCTATGGTTCCATTTGCTGACGAGAATTATAGCACGCCAAACAACAAATCCTCGTCGCCAAAGCCGATCTCGAGGCCGGCCGGGTCAACAATAAAACGCGCACAACAATCTTCCACGAACTGCTGACGCCAAATTCCGAAGAAGGCTGGGTCCCCCCAACCCCAGATCAGATCAAATACGAAGCCTATGGCATCTTGGCAGCAGCAGCTGATACAACGGGCAATGGGTTGACGACAGGAGTATACGAGGTGATCAAGAATCCCAAGATCTACGCAAAGCTCACGGCAGAATTGAAGGCTGCATTTCCGGATCCAAATGCCAAGATAGAACTTACTGTTTTGGAACGCCTTCCATATCTGACTGGCGTCGTAAACGAATCCCTCCGCCTCTCCTTCGGCGTCATCTCCCGCCTCCCGCGCATAGTCCCCACAGGCGGCGCCAAGTTCGAGGGCTACACCATCCCCACCGGCTTCACGGTCTCTATGTCCTCCTGGGTCCTGCATCGGAACGAAGACTACTTTCCTCATGCTCAGGAGTTCATTCCTGAACGATGGGCGCTGACCAGCGACAAGCAGAAGATGTGGAAGGCGTTTGTGCCGTTTGGAAAAGGGAGCAGGATGTGTGTTGGGATGCCGTAAGTTCACTGCACCGATCCCTTGGAACTTATTCAGGATGGTTTGGGAGTGAGGCTGACTGCATAGGCTTGCGTTTTGTGAGATGTACGTGACTCTAGGGTCGATCTTCCGAAGATTCGAGCACTTGAAAGGCAATGAACTAAGTGAATACGATTTGTTATATGATGATTTCTTTGCTAGTCATCGGCCGATGGATGCTGTCAAGTTTCATGTTATTGAGCAGGATTTGAAGGAATAAAGGACACGGGGACAAGAGGTGCGGAATAAATATGCAGGGCGTACGAATACTTCGACGAAGTCGAAGAAGGGTTGAAGTTGGGAGCACGGCTACTCCTGGAGGAGGTAAGCAGAACGAGTATTGGAACCCACCACTTAGCCCAGGTGGTAATACTTTTACGAAAAGTACCCATCACATCAACACTAGGGCCCAACGTTGGGGGGAATGGGGACAGGTCATTGAAGGTGGTCAGATCAACGGTGAGGACTATGTGGTTGCACATCTGCTTTATGCAATACATCAAGGAGAAGGACCTCGAATTTTGGCTTTGCATCTTTCAGCCGTTTGACGGAAAAGATGCATTCAATAACTGGCGCCGCCGGCTCTATCGTCTTCCTTTCCTACTCCACATCGCTCAATTGATCGATTTATAGCAATCACCCGGCGTTGTTGAGCGTACATACTATCAACTAAATCAACGACCAGTGTACGTACTACGTTTTCCATGTCTTTGAACCCTTTCTCAAACAGATATCGTTGCGCTTGCAAATCCTCAACCAAATCTGCAACGAGTGTGCGTACTTGGTTGTCCGTGCCTTTGAAGCCCTCAAGGAGTCTGCATTCTTAGGAATTTAGGAGCTCCCGCGACTCGGAAATCAGCTTGTGGTGTTCGATCTCCACTTTCCGACGATAGTCGTAGTCATGCGTTGGTGGTTCTCTTGGACTTGGTAGAGCATGTCGAGGCTCTCTAATACTGGTATCCACAAGCTCTCAGTGTCGACGAGATCCTTAGACTGCTCGACCCTGCGTCTTTTGTGTTTTTGCAACGAGGGCATCTCATCAAAGGCCGCCTTGGGTAATCCTCATTTTAATTAGGCACGATCTTTTCTGCGAGTGGTAATTGGAACTCACCAGCACCTTCCTCGGATAATCCTCTCAGGCCTCTCTTTGGCCTCCTCAACTCTGGTCTTTTTCCGAGCGTGGGTTCGGTCGCGGGCTCGGTGTGCTCGAGGGTCGCGCCCGAAGCTGCACTTGATGAAGTCGGCTGTGTTTGTTACACGAATGTGATTGCGGAATTGGTACGGCATGCCGGAATGGTTTGAGTGGGTTTGAGAGTGAATGTTGGGCTAAAGGTAACGAAAAGAATGGTGGCTGGCAAGATTAAGAAGGGGAAGACTCATATTTGTAAATGGCAGACAGGACACAGCCTATAACACCCTGGAAAGGTCCAACCCACGGCGCCTGATTCGGCCAGCATATTTCACTGGGTATAGAAAATAGGAGTAATCTCACAGGTGTGCAGTCATTAGGTGCCTAACCTTCTCTCGTGCTCGTAGTTAGCACGGCTTCATGGTATGAAGTTGCATGGTTCGCACGAGTAGATGGTGGACTCCCCAAAATTAGGGCCCATAAATCATTTCTTTGGAAGTATAGTCGAGTTTGTTCGAATTCCAGCGTAATAAAAACACTAATGCCTAACTAGTTCTTCTCCCCTATCCTCCTCAATTCCTCCTCGCACGCCTTGACCACATCATGCCTAAAATTGTACTCCGTATACTCCTTCGGATTTGCTATCCCCAATTCGTTATTAGCACTTCTTCCCTGTTTTCCCCCTCTCATCAAAACAGTACTTACATGGCACCTTCCCATCTTTCACATAAGGCAGCGCCGACTCCCTTATTTTCTCTGCTTCATCCTGCCCAGCGTTCGAAAACATCTGCATAGCACTTGCACGATTTCTTCTCACGTTTTCGAAAGAATCTAGACGAGATGAGATGGAGGTAGCGTCTGTCGCGGAGAAATTGGTGAAAAGAAGGCCGAGAGCACAACCATCTTCGATGGCTTGTGCGCCGCCTTGGCCTTGGTCTGTTGTGGAGGTGAGTGGCTGAAGATGTTTTGAGGGTGTGGGAGCAAGAGAGGAAGAGAGGATTGTTACATGGAAGCATTGGATGTGCTGCGTCACCGATAAGTGCAACGCGAGATTTATGCCATGTGGGAAGAGGAGCTCTGAAGAGAAGTTTCCAGAGCTTGACATTGCTTGCTTTCCTATAACATTGTAAGAAGATGCCGTTCTATTCTTTTAGGGGAATTTGGCAGACCTCAATAATGCTTCCAGAGATGGATGGAAGCCATTCATTTCCTCAAGCATAACACTTTTATCAACAGGGATGTTCCAACCTAAATGTAATGTGAGTCATACATCCACACCCAGCGATTGACTCTGACTTCCCGTACCTTCTGAGGAATTGAGCTTCTCGCTGTCCGGACACGTAAAAACCAGATTTTGCACCTGATTTCTAGGTATTACATTCAGTCACGCTGACTTCAAGACAAGGTTGAGTAACTTACTCTCTGCACGGATACATGATGATTCGTAGATGGCCATCCTTCGAAGATACATAGCTTCTGCCTCTCCCATCATGATTCTCCATCAACCCAGCAGTCTCAGGATCGTCGAAAATCTCTTGACTCGGCAAGAGGAATCGAAAGCAAGAGATGCCCACGGGAACAGCAGGGTTTTCGTAGCCAACGACAGACTTTACGGCTTTGGAATGGATCCCATCAGCCCCAATAATCAAATCTGCTCTCATCGTCGTCCCATCTGATAGCTTCACCACTCCTCCTTCCGGATCCTACATCCTGATCATCAGTCACAATTCCAATCATGGAAATTGATGTGATTCCCGTAACTCACATAACCAACCGCTTCCCTCCTCTCCAAAATCTCCGCCGGCTTTCCCGGTCCCTCCTCTCTCGTAGCCAAGTGTCTCAACTCATTATGCAAATCCACACGATGCGAAAAATAAAACGCAGCCCCATACTCCTTCTCAATATATGCATAATCCTGCTTATCAAACGGTTTCAATGTCTCTCCAGAAGCGAAGATTACTGTTTTAGCTGTCACGAAACGGGCGCGTTTGACGGAGAATCCCCAGGTGTCGAGGACGCGGGATGCGTTGGGGCAGACGTTGATAGCGGCTCCTACTTCGTGAAGCATGGAGGATTTCTCGATGATCTAGATGAGAAGGCGTCAGCTGATTGAGGAAGAGAGTGGTTGGGCAAAGACGACACACTTGAACATCGTGGCCTGCTCGACGCAAACCAATTGCTGCGGAGAGACCGGCGATTCCAGCTCCGACTATGATAACTTTCATGTTGAATTATGGCTGATGAAAATTAAGTATAACTGAAAGACAGCTTGTCCTCGAAATTAGTTTTAATGCGGCTGCTTTGGTATACAACATATAGTTCCTCCTGCTGTCGAAGGTGGATATACCGTTGGAACAGTCTCGATGTTGGTTGAAGAGCGGCTTCAGGCTTGGCGAAATTCCGGACCAATCGGTTTCTGCCGATTCGTTCCAGGGGTATGGAACGGGCAGTAATAGAACAATCCAACTCGTTCCTAAGCAAGCTAATTCCTGTATATCCTTATTATTTTATAAAGGCTGCTATTAATTATATTATTAAGAGGCTAAAACCATTATATAACCTCTATAAAAACCAAGAAAGGCTTTTATTAAACTATAATACTATTATAAGTAATTCTATTATTATAAGAAGTTTTTCTTATTATATTATATTATATATTTGTTTTTATTTTATATAATTATTTCTAATACTTTTATTATATCTTTTTTTATATCTTTTATAGCCTCTTATAATAATTTCTTTATAATAATTATTTTATATATTTATAAAAGAAATATATAAAATATTTATTAATAGGTAATAAGATAATAGAATAAATTAGTATATTATAAAACCATAGTATTAAATTCAGTATAGAACTAATCTCTATTCCTCTTATAAGGTCCAGGGAAGCCCTCTCTAAATAGGAGGCCCTAATAATATATATATATAATTAGTAATTTATAAGTCTAATACTTATAATATAAATAGTAATTAGTTATAAAGTTAAAGGACCTTTAATTTCCCTAATTAATACTTGTAATATCCGAGGTTTATTATATATTCTTAAATTATATATAACCCTATATATATTATAACTATATCTTTCTTCTAAGATCTTATTCCCAAGATCTATTAATTTATTCTAGTAAAATATTTAATTAATTATATATTTAATTAAGGTAAACTTCTAGAATCTTGGAAAGTAGATTTACTAATATAATCTAGGTAATAGATATAAAAATCGTCTAAATTAGATTAGGGCTAAATAAATAAAAAGAAAGAGTAATTATATCCCAGATATAAAAGCTAGCTAGTAATTATAATTTTGTTTGGAATCTGAGTATTCTGATTAGCTCGATCCAAAGTACTAAAATACTATTCTATAAAATTAATACTATTTATTAGATCTTATATTAGAATAATCTAAATAGCTATATAGAAAGAATTTAATAAATATTTGTATAAGAAACCTATATAAATATTTCTAAGATCCTAGAAATTATTTATAGGCTTCTGGAAATATATATTAATTAGTTATATTAATTTCCGATTAGGACTAGCTCGAAAACTAGTAGTTAATTCAGGTAGTTCTCTATTTCTATAAAAGAACCTCTTTATATTATTATATATTCTCTTTCTTTCTAATAATTATATATATAATAACTTTTTCTATTATTACTTTCTAGCTTCTTTTTCTATTCTTTTCTAAGTTTTTTTTAATTTTTTTTAATTAATTCTATAATATCTTCTTCTGGCTTTATTATTTATCTATATAATAATAAATATAAAGGTGATTTTATAGCCTTCTTTCCTATTACTAGTAAATACTTGAAATATTTCAAGTATTTACTTATTAATTTCTTTATCTTATATATTATAGTATCTAGTAAAAAGAATTATAACTATTATAATATAAATCTTATATATTAGTAAGTTCTTTAGCTTTAATATCTATTAAAGCTAATATAATTTCAGATTCCTTATTACTTATTAGAGGCTTACTAGTTCTAGAAAGATATTATTATAATTTTCAAGAAATTTCTTAAAATATATCCTAAATAGTATTATATTAATAAGAATAATATTATTAATTAGGTTTTTAAAAACTAGAAGAATACTAATAAGCTTTGGAATTCTTTTTTCCGTTTTAATAAAATAGATAATAATACTATTTGAGTTAGTATTCCGAAAGTAAGTTTTTTTTAATATATTTAGATATTTACTAATTTCTTAAAAGAATACTATAATATCTATTTTTAAGAAATCGATCTTATTACTAAGCTTATTATAGAAATTACTAAGTAGTTTACTACTAGTATTTTAAATACTAATAATATAATATTTATAGCTATTTAGAACCTGATTTTAGAAGTTCAGGCCTTTTATAAAATATATATAGCTATTATAAGTTCTTTATTTACTTTTCTTAATATTTTTAATACTAATATTATTATAATATAACTATATTCTATTAAAAAAATAAGCAGATTCCGGAGAATATTAGTTAATTCTTTATTAAGTCCTAAATAAAACCGGTATTTAGTATTCTTATTTTAGGAATTAGGAATTTATAGGAATTAGAATTTATTTATTTAAGATACCTATAACTAGTTTATTTATAATAAACTTTTCTTAATTCTAAACCTTTTTCTAATAATTTAAATATAATTCTTATAAGCTTTAATAAAATCCTAAAAAACTTTTATAAGTAAAAAAACTTTAAGAAAAAAGTATTTCTATTACTATTCCGGGCCTTTTTTTAGCTATTTAGATTTTCTCTTTCTTTTAAATAGCCTTTTTTTTTAGTAGTCCAGAATTTTTTTTAATCTTAAGAAACTATTAAAAAGTAGTTTTAGTTATATGATTTCAGAAGTCTTTTAAAATTTTTAAAATTAAAGAAAGTAAATAACTAGATATTATAATTTTCAGGCCAGGCTTTCTATTTAATTAAATATTATTATTTCTTATTTCTATTATTTTATTAGTAATTAATAATAGCTTTTATTTCCTATTTTTATTCTTTATTATTATTTATTAATTCCAGAAGTTTTCCGGAAAAATATAAATATAACTTCTAATTCTTTTTTACTATATACTTTTTAAAAAAAGAAATATAGAAAGTTAGATATAAATAATTATATATATTTAGTAGTTCTAACTTATATATTAAATTACTAATATATTTAAGAATCCTAAATAGACCTATAAATTTTAGTTTAAGTTTCTCTATTTTAAATTTAATATTTTTTATTAATAGTATTATTTAGACTTTTTTAGAATAATATTTAGCTAACTAGTATTTATTATAATAGGTTTTCTAGTTATTTTATATATAATACTATAAATCTTCGAGCTTTTTCTATTCTATTTTAAGGGTTTCTAGTCTCTTATATATAGCTAGTATCTCTCTTATAATTCTATCTTTAGGATTCTATAAAAGTTAAGAATAATATCTATAATATATATAAAAAGATATATTTTATAAAACCTAATATTTTAAGTTATTATATATAAATTCTATAAAAAATAACTTTTTAAACTAGTTATTTTTTTAGATATTATAATAATATTTCAGATAGTATTTCAGGATCTAATTTTGTTTTTTTATCTAACTATTTATTTAAAAATAATAAGCTATATTTAAATACTATTTATATATTAAATAAAAGTAGAAAATAAACTAGAACTAGCTAGTAAATACTATTTTTTAATCAGAAATAATTCTATTAGAAAAGCCAAAAATCAAGAAAATATATTCCTATATAATCTTAATAAGCTTTAGAGAATTAATAGTCTTATAATATATAATATATCTTATTATTTTAGAGTATTAGTTAATAACTATAAGAATTATATTAAAATCGGAACCTTTTATTAGATTTTTATATAGTAATAGACCTATAATAAAATCTATAGAAATCTTATTTTAGGGTCTTTTAAACTATAGTAAACTACTAAGTAAACTATATAATAAATACTTCTTTGCCTTAATTCTCTAGTAAATATTATATTCTTAATAATAATTATAAATATCTCTTTCTATATTCTTCTAATACTAGAATTTTCTAAGAAATTCGAGAGTCTTTTTTATTCTATAATAATTAGCTATTAGGTTATTATAATAAAACTTTATAACTTCTTAATATAAAATAGAATTATTAGATATAATAATTCTGAAATAGTACCTAAATAGGCCCGAATTATTTTTCTAAATTTCTTTTTTTTTAGTATCTTTCTTATTAAGTCTTTATTTTATAATATTCTAATATCGAGAATTGTTTTTCTAAATTATCTAGATAATATCTAGAGGAGATTTAGATAGAGAAGCTAGTACTATAGCTCTTTTAGTAGCTATATATATCTATATATAGGAAATTAGGTATTTATAACTATCTAATTTAAAAACTTAAAAGATTAAAGAGTCTTTAGTTTTATTAAATAATATAATTATAGATATTTCTATTACCTTAGCTATAGTAATAAAGCCTTTAAAATATTTCCCTATATCTTATTTTTTAACTAATTCTATAATTAAGAAATCTATAAAATAATTTATTTATTTATTTTATAGTAAATATTTCTCTTTAGCTATTATAGATATAATAAGTATTAAATAATACTTATTCTAAAGAGGAGACTTTTTAGATATTTATAAGAACCTCTAAATTATAATTATAAAAGCTTTTTTTAGCTTATTCTAAAAGATTAGAAGCCAAGTTATATTAATAGAATCTTTTTTATAATTAGGTCTTTTATTAGGTCCGTTTACTAGATTTAAGATATCTCTATAATAAATAATATTAAAATTATATATTATAAAATATATTACCTAATATATTTAATAGTTTTCTAGATATTTTATTTCTATAAAATATTAAAGGTTATTATAGTCTATAATAACCTTAATTATAAACCTAAACTCTTTAAAATAATAGTATTAATATTTAAAGGTTTTAATAATTATAAATAGTTCCCTATTATAAATATTATAATTATATTTAATTCTAGAGAATTTCCGGAACTAGAATATTACTAGATACTAGTATTTTTTCGGGCTATTACTAGAATTAACTTATTATAAAATAGTACTAATAATTATAAATTTTAATATATTAGTTTTAATATAAATCTTTTTAGAAGAATTAAAATAGACTAGAATAGGTATTATAATAAAAGTTTTTTTTAAAGTCTTAAAGCTTTTAGCCGCTTTATTTATTTATATAAAGAGATTGGATTTCCGGCTCTTTTCTATTTCTTTTAAAAGATTTATTAAGCCTATAGTTACTTGAAAGTAATAGTAAATAAATTTATAATAGAAATTAGTAAATTCAAGAAATACTTGAATATTATAA